TCATCATTTAAGGGCCCTAATCTGTATAATAATAAACTGCTCTTTTCCAATCCTTCTTTAACTGATAACAGTCGTTCAAAGATATTTAAATTTCTAGATTACTTTTCCAGCCTCTAAATCTTGTTATTGTTTTAATTTTGATGTCCCGCCCTCCACCATTTCACCAATCAGAAACTCACCGCGTGGAGCTAATCTCACTGGTAAAGTACCATGTGGCGCAGAACTAAAAAAGGTCTCGTTATGATTCTCAAATCATTAACGACCAAACAAGGAATAAAACCAGGATTTCTATCTTTGTGAAAAGGTGTTGGTTATAGATTTGTTGTTGACAAAAATCTTGTCTATTCAGCTGTTATGGTCCCAGCTGGATTCGTCTGCATATCTGGCAACCTGAGTCAGGGAGAGTGGGAGAGGCTGCAGTACCACTTTTGGCCACATTTTTACACACTGCTCCTTTAAGATTTATGGACATCTGCATTTCTTGTGTTTGATTCTCTGATCTGTTTTGGCGAATTGACAGTTTAGTGAAGTCTTTCGCGATAACTGCGATTGTGATTTAGGGCTTCACTAATACATTTAATTGAATTGAAGCCATAAAACATGAAGTAGAGATACAGAAAACAAAAAGTAGAGCTAAAGATAAAGTCACAGAGTTCTGAATTAATTTATTATAATAACTGTATAAACCGTCACATAACAGAGACTTTATAGTTCCCCTTTAACGTGTCACAACAAAAGTGAACGTCTGAGGACTCTGTAGCTAAGTGAAAGTTAATGGAATAACAGAATTATAAAATCCAGTCCATTTACTTTCACATAAAGTCTTCCACATGCAGTAAGTGATTTGTGGTTTTTAAATACTCCTCGCAGATGCACGTTTACATTAGGGGCCTGTGTCTTATCCCCAGCGCGCTCCGGTTTCACTCCAAACACAGAATCCGCATTCACCAGAGCGGCGGATAAAGCCTGTCACTTTTTCATTATTTTCACAAACCAAAGTTAGAGTTATTCTTCGGAACAAGTGCACCATACAGAAAACAAGCCGGCACGAGGCGGCTAAAAATAACTGCAAAAACCACCATAATATTGACCCAGGGATCGGGCTCGTGCGTGGAAGTGGCGCCCGACTCCGGCTAAACAGACAGAGTGGATTTTATGAAGTCGAGCTCACTCCATCTCTCCACATCTCGCTGCTAAATGAAGTGACAGGACAGCGGCGGTTTGCACTGGTCACTCTTCAGCACGGGTGAAGACATTAGCTCTGCTTCTAATAACACACAAATATATAGGCTTTATATTACTTCTTTATTATGCTAAAGTTAGAGATGTTTTGATAGCTTCTTTATTATGCTAAAGCTAGAGATTTTATACTAGCTTCTTTATTATGCTAAAGTTAGAGATTTTAGACTAGCTTCTTTATTATGCTAAAGCTGGAGATTTCATACTAGCTTCTTTATTATGCTAAAGTTAGAGATTTTCTTCTAGCTTCTTTATTATGCTAAAGCTAGAGATTTTATACTAGCTTCTTTATTATGCTAAAGTTAGAGATGTTATACTAGCTTCTTTATTATGCTAAAGTTAGAGATTTTATACTAGCGTCTTTATTATGCTAAAGTTAGAGATTATATACTAGCGTCTTTATTATGCTAAAGCTAGAGATTTTAGACTAGCTTCTTTATTATGCTAAAGTTAGAGATTTTATACTAGCGTCTTTATTATGCTAAAGCTAGAGATTTTATACTAGCTTCTTTATTAAGCTAAAGTTAGAGATTTTATACTAGCTTCTTTATTATGCTAAAGCCAGTGATGTATGTATTGTATTTTATTTTAGTTATGGTTCACTTATCTCATACTGTTCTGTATGAAGGACCTCTTTATCATAATCTTGATCTCGGTAATAGCCCAGGGTCGTGGTGTAGCATGTAGTACAGAGATTCTCACTTTAGCTCAAATAAATATCTAACATTAGCATAATAGAGAAGCAGCGTACGGTGGCGTGTTGCATCTGGTAGCATGTTGTAAAATCTTGTAGCAGTGTCTAGCATTTTCATATTGTGGCAGTAAAGTGTGGATGTAAAGAAACCGAAGGATTTAAGAAGAAAAAAAGTTCAGGACGACAAGGGACACTAAAATCCCCACAAAATCTGATCTTTATGAAAGCTGTAGGTTCTCTGTCAGTTGAGGTCGAGCTGTTTTAGTTTACATTGAGTTCTATCAGACTTGTTTCTGGGTCGGCAGTATCACAGCGCCCCCTGTGGCCATGGGTGGGACAGCTATGAGCCAGCAATACCCTATCCAGTTATTATTATAGATCCATGGTAGTATCTATATTACTCTATCCAGTTATTATTATAGATCCATGGTAGTATCTATATTACTCTATCCAGTTATTATTATAGATCCATGGTAGTATCTATATTACTCTATCCAGTTATTATTATAGATCCATGGTAGTATTTAGTAGAAATGTGCGGTTTCTTCTGGCAGTGTAGCATCTCAGCTTGTAAGTAAGTAAGTAAGTAATGTTTATTTATATACCGCCTTTCACAGACAAGGGTCACAAAGCGGTTTACAATTGTTATTATTATTTTTTTGGGCACTTGTCCTCTCACTCCAGACAGAGATGTGAGCGGGGTCGCCGAACAGAAGGCGCATGCCAGACCTATTGTACATATTTTTAGTGGTAGGGGAAACCGGAGTACCCGGAGGAAACCTACACAGACACGGGGAGAACATGCAAACTCCACTCAGAAAGGCCCTGGTCCGGCCGGGATTTGAACCCAGGACCTTCTTGCTGAGAGGCGAGAGTGCTATCCACTCAGCCACCGTGCCTTGTAACATTGTGCAGCAGTGTGTGTAGCATGCATCAGTGTGTGTAGCATGCAGCAGTGTGTGTAGCATGCAGCAGTGTGTGTACCAGCAGCAGTGTGTGTAGCAGCAGCAGTGTGTGTAGCAGCAGCAGTGTGTGTAGCAGCAGCAGTGTGTGTAGCTTACAGCAGTGTGTGTAGCAGCAGCAGTGTGTGTAGCAGCAGCAGTGTGTGTAGCAGCAGCAGTGTGTGTACCAGCAGCAGTGTGTGTAGCAGCAGCAGTGTGTGTAGCTTACAGCAGTGTGTGTAGCAGCAGCAGTGTGTGTAGCAGCAGCAGTGTGTGTAGCAGCAGCAGTGTGTGTAGCTTACAGCAGTGTGTGTAGCAGCAGCAGTGTGTGTAGCAGCAGCAGTGTGTGTAGCAGCAGCAGTGTGTGTACCAGCAGCAGTGTGTGTAGCAGCAGCAGTGTGTGTAGCTTACAGCAGTGTGTGTAGCAGCAGCAGTGTGTGTAGCAGCAGCAGTGTGTGTAGCAGCAGCAGTGTGTGTACCAGCAGCAGTGTGTGTAGCAGCAGCAGTGTGTGTAGCATGCAGCAGCGTGTGTAGCATGCAGCAGTGTGTGTAGCATGCAGCAGTGTGTGTAGCAGCAGCAGTGTGTGTAGCATGCAGCAGTGTGTGTAGCAGCAGCAGTGTGTGTACCAGCAGCAGTGTGTGTAGCAGCAGCAGTGTGTGTAGCAGCAGCAGTTTGTGTAGCAGCAGTGTGTGTAGCAGCAGCAGTGTGTGTAGCAGCAGCAGTGTGTTGCTTACAGCAGTGTGTGTAGCATGCAGCAGTGTGTGTAGCAGCAGCAGTGTGTGTACCAGCAGCAGTGTGTGTAGCAGCAGCAGTGTGTGTAGCAGCAGCAGTGTGTGTAGCAGCAGCAGTGTGTGTACCAGCAGCAGTGTGTAGCAGCAGCAGTGTGTGTAGCAGCAGCAGTGTGTGTAGCAGCAGCAGTGTGTTGCTTACAGCAGTGTGTGTAGCATGCAGCAGTGTGTGTAGCAGCAGCAGTGTGTGTACCAGCAGCAGTGTGTGTAGCAGCAGCAGTGTGTGTAGCAGCAGCAGCAGTGTGTGTAGCATGCAGCAGTGTGTGTAGCATGCAGCAGCGTGTGTAGCAGCAGCAGTGTGTGTACCAGCAGCAGTGTGTGTAGCAGCAGCAGTGTGTGTAGCAGCAGCAGTGTGTGTAGCAGCAGCAGTGTGTGTAGCATGCAGCAGTGTGTGTGTAGCATGCAGCAGCGTGTGTAGCAGCAGCAGTGTGTGTAGCAGCAGCAGTGTGTGTAGCAGCAGCAGTTTGTGTAGCAGCAGTGTGTGTAGCAGCAGCAGTGTGTTGCTTACAGCAGTGTGTGTAGCAGCAGCAGTGTGTGTACCAGCAGCAGTGTGTGTAGCAGCAGCAGTGTGTGTCGCTTACAGCAGTGTGTGTAGCATGCAGCAGTGTGTGTAGCAGCAGCAGTGTGTGTAGCAGCAGCAGTGTGTGTAGCAGCAGCAGTGTGTGTAGCAGCAGCAGTGTGTGTAGCATGCAGCAGTGTGTGTAGCAGCAGCAGTGTGTGTAGCAGCAGCAGCGTGTGTAGCATGCAGCAGTGTGTGTAGCAGCAGTGTGTGTAGCATGCAGCAGTGTGTGTAGCATGCAGCAGTGTGTGTAGCAGCAGCAGTGTGTGTAGCATGCAACAGTGTGTGTAGCAGCAGCAGTTTGTGTAGCAGCAGTGTGTGTAGCATGCAGCAGTGTGTGTAACATGCAGCAGTGTGTGTAGCAGCAGCAGTGTGTGTAGCAGCGGCAGTGTGTGTAGCAGCAGCAGTGTGTGTAGCATGCAGCAGTGTGTGTAGCAGCAGCAGTGTGTGTAGCAGCGGCAGTGTGTGTAGCAGCAGCAGTGTGTGTAACAGCAGCAGCGTGTGTAGCATGCAACAGTGTGTGTAGCAGCAGCAGTTTGTGTAGCAGCAGTGTGTGTAGCATGCAACAGTGTGTAGCAGCAGCAGTTTGTGTAGCAGCAGTGTGTGTAGCATGCAGCAGTGTGTGTAGCATGCAGCAGTGTGTGTAGCAGCAGCAGTGTGTGTAGCTTACAGCAGTGTGTGTAGCAGCAGTAGCTATGCAGAGGCCACACACCGGTGAGACCCTGTGTTTGTGGAACAGCCCCGTGCCTGTGCTCTGCCCTGCTCTGCCTCTGCACACATGACGGATGGCGTGCTGACAGAGGCCGTGGACGGACCGCCTCAGGAAGGAAAGACGGCCAGAAGAGGTGTGCTGAGGCTGGCACTGCCCCAGCCCGGGGGGGGGGGTCGTGGGCTGGACCGGGGGACATGGAAACTACACGCCGGGCTTCAGGCTCCAGCGGGCGACACCCTATCAGCTCCTCTACAACGTGGATACTGAAGGGTGAAGGTCAGGGCGCTGTAACTCTAGCATCTGTGTGCGGACTGCAGGGTGTTGGAGTGGGATTATGCTCCATGTCCAGCCCCCAGACCTGAGGAGAAATGTGCAACCTCAGCACCGAAGATCCAGAGAAGCCTGGGGGGTTATATCATATTACATCTTTATTTGTATAGCACAAAAACAGCAATAAAAACAGATAAAAAGAGTCATAAAAATCTAAAATATTGTGGAGAAATACAGGAGAATAAAGCAAAAACAATGACAATGGATAACAACATATTTTATCAAGAAAACTACCACAGCATTTGCATTTATAAACAATAATTCAAAGTCAACTTTATCAACCCTGGTTTACAAAACAAAGCCTGTTTCAATCTCAGCAGCTGGACTCAGTTTGTTCATAGAAATATATTTAATTATACAATACTTATATTCAGTGAAAGTCATGATTTGATCCAAACTCCTTCACAATAAAAGTCACAAACGATGAACTATAAAACATTCCACAAATGTTTGGTTCTTGGTTTTCCTGTTTTTGTGTCTCTGTTTTGAGCCCAAACCTTTATTATATAATGTTTAAAAATGATAAATTTAGCAGTTTTTTACCTTTATCAGGAGATTAACTGCGCTGGTGGTCATAGATTTTGCACACACACAAACCCGTAATAAACATAACCCTTAATGCAGCCCAGCTTCACTCGGACAAAACCATGTGAGATTATTTTGACGAATGTTCTTTGTAGACTGCTGAGTGGCATGTCGGCAGAGTTGTTGGTCCTGGGTTCAAATCCCAGAACAGGGCATTTCTGAGTGAATGATCCAGTTCCAGAGGTGCATAACTTCCCGCTCTGGTTCTGACCCGACCTCTGTGTAACTTAACTTCATCCAGACTCAAAAACATTCAGCACAATATCTGACATTAAAGATGTATCATTGATTATTGACATGAAGTATTTTGTTCATCGTTACCATAGCAACACAGTACTTGCTTTGTGCATTAACTTATGTTTTTGTTTTTTTAATCTTAAATTTAAAGTCAGAATTTGTGAAACAAGCACCGCAATGTGACCCGTGTGCAAGTTATATGAAAAGTGACCCAATCATTTTCTATTTTAATTATTTTACGAACTCAATTACTTATTTCAGCCCTGGACGACAGTGTGATTAAAGTAAAGAAGTAAAAAACTGTGATAAAAGCCAATTTAAATCTAATCACTGATGTAATTATCACAGTTCATATCCTTATTAGATATTGTCAAAGATATAGAAAGTAGAGAAAGCAGCATTTTTAGCTTGTTTGAAAAATGCTACTAGAAATATTGGGAGAATAATTCTGCTTATTATTGTCAATACATTTCAAAAATATCTGATTTGTTGCTGTTCCTTCAGAAACATGATTCATTTTGCCACTTTAACCTGTTGTAGATGTGTGTCTGTGAACGAGACACAGAAACTGCTTCACTCTGCGATCCTGGAAATGTCACTTAATGCGTTGCTTTTTATTATTATTATTGTACATTTTGAGCAGAGCCGGTAAATTCAGCGACTGGAGCTTGCCTGCGGATCGGAGAGGCCGGTATAATGGGGTGTGGGCTGACGCTGATGACCGCCTCTCTCCAATGATAACTTGCGGTTTCTTAAGTGTTCCTCGGAGCCACAAAGAGCCTTAAGAACCGGGCAGCTGCTGGCAAAGTCCACGCTGTTCCATCCCAGTGCGGAGCAGGGACCCTCGTTGGAACAGGAGGAAATGTCTCTAAAACCTATACCACCCAGTTTACTCTGGCAGCGCGGCGCAGACCAGACTTTTATATGCCCTGGACGTTTGGAGCGGTGGGGGATGATGGACGAGGCCGGAAAGCTACCTGCTGGTACGAGGAACGGCCAACTTGTAAAGACGGCGCATTAGCATCGCTGCTGTGACGGAGCACTCAAAGTGTCTAAAAGAGTCTGAAATAGGTCGGCTCCAGTCGGGGCTTATGTTTGTGCGGGGCCAGGGTTTGGTTGTGTTTCAGTCCCTTTGAGGTCGTAACCTGCAGCTCTGCTTCATGTTTGATGGAACCAAAACAGGATGGTGAAGAAACAGATACTGTTCTGTCAGGATGGACCGGAGGGTGCAGGAGGGAGCAGGAGGAGCAGGAGGAGCAGGAAGGAGCAGGAGGAGCAGGAGGGAGGAGGAGCAGGAGGGAGCAGGAAGGAGCAGGAGGGAGCAGGAAGGAGCAGGAGGGAGCAGGAAGGAGCAGGAGGGAGCAGGAGGAGCAGGAGGAGCAGGAGGGAGCAGGAGGAGCAGGAGGGAGCAGGAGGGAGCAGGAGGGAGCAGGAAGAGGAGCAGGATTTTCTACAATACATTCAGTTGTAAACCTGCTCTCTTTGAAGTAATTATGACAAAGCCCAGAGGTAAACCCCGAAATGATACAGATACTGGCTGTCCAACTCCAGAAAAGAGTAAAGTGACAAATGAACAAGAAGGCGGTGACGCAGCGTTTGGCATACCTGCTTTACTCCAAGAACTCAAGGCCTTCCGCGTGGAAACGGCTGAAAATTTTGGGACACTGAGGAAAGAAATGAGTGATCTGAAATCTGAACTTGGGAATATTAAAGAAAGAGTGGAAATTACGGAGCAAAGGATATCCGACTGCGAGGACAATGAAAGGAACGTTACATTAGTAATGATTCACATGTTGCATGCGCAAAAGTAACTGAAAGAAAAATGTGAGGACTTGGAAAATCGCTCAAGGCGTGAGAATATAAGAATTAATTCTGTGCCAGAGAAAAGTGAAGGAAATGACATGATTGAATTTGTGACGAAATTGATACGGGAGAAATTGGGTGTCACCACTGAGCTCCGCATTGAGCGTGCTCACCGAACACCTGCGGCGTTTCAAGGACAGTATCCTCGTCCCCGCTCAATAGTGGTGCGTTTCCAGAGTTACACCACAAAACAACAAGTGCTGAAGGCTGCGTGGACAAAGAAAATTGTTCAGATGGATGAGACGAGAATCTACTTTGATGAAGACTTTAGTCCAGTGGTCTTCAAAGAACGCGGAAAGTATAGGGATGTGCGTAAAATGCTCCGAGAAAGGAATATAAGACATCACATCCTCTTTCCAGCCAAATTGAAAATATTCTGCGAGAATGGTAAGGCCAAAGTGTTCGACAACCCGGCAGCTGCCGCGGAGGGCCTGCGTGAATATGGCATTGAGATGACCTTACCGGCAGAGGATCCAGATCTGGACTCATTGCTCCGCGCAACGGGCTGGCAAACACCTGGTTCCCACAAGCGGAGAACCCCTGAGACTGAGACTATGAATGCAATGAAAGTTTTACTGGGGAATAAAAAATGAACGGAATAATGGACACAGTTGATCATCGTGGCAAACAACGTGGATTGGACATAATGAATGACACGCATGATGCGTACAAGGTACGAATTCATATTATTTTCTCTCCTCCCAAACTTTCCGCTGGCAAAGGTTTGTGCTGCAGCGCTGGGTGGTTGGAGATATTTTCGTTAGTGATTAATGATGACTGAACCCCCGCGACCCGGCAACGGATGAAGCGGAAGAAAATGGATGGATGGATGGATTAATGATGACTGAACAATTAAGATATCCAACTCTGGGATCAAATGACAATTCACTTTCCACTAAAATACACAACTTTGAAGCGGACTTTGATCCGGATAGGAATATATTTGATTTTAGTTCTTTTTCCTGTAATTATTATAGTAAAGACGATCTTAAGTTAAACCGAGAAACGGGGAGCTCATTTTCTTTGGTACACTTCAATTGTAGAAGCTTATATGCAAACATAAATAAAATTGACGAGTATATGAATACGCTGGAAACTCAGTTTAATGTCATTGCCTTTTCTGAGACATGGTTAAACACGGAAAGGGGAGTGGATATAGGAATAAATGGTTATAATTTTTATCACGTCGCTAGACCAGGGAAAAGAGGTGGCGGTGTCGCATTGTGCATTGATCAGTCACTCAAATGTAAAATACTGGAACGTTTGTCTGTTGCGATTGAAGGCCTAATGGAATACATAGCAGTGGAAATAGAAATAGAAAATAAAGAAAATATTACTATAGTCTGTGTCTACAGAGCACAAGGCTCTAAAATTGAGGAATTTAAAGAGAAGTTTTCTGAATTATGTGACTTTAATGCAACAAACAAAACAAAGCTGATATGTGGTGATTTTAACATTGATTTTCTAAATCCACATCAAAGTACAACCACAGAAGACTTCATCAACGAAATGCACAGTCGATGTCTGTTTCCAGTAATAACCCAACCCACCAGAGTCACATGCACGGCTGCCACTCTAATTGATAATATTTTTTTTAGTGACATTGATAGCGTCCTTCTTAGCGGTATACTTGTAACGGACCTCAGTGACCACTTGCCCATTTTTATTGTTTGTGGACTAAAAACTACTAAACAGAATAAAAGTGTTTCTGTGAAAACTAAATACATACGAAGAAGAACAGAGGAGGAATTAAACTCATTTAGAAATGACCTGTGTATCCAAGATTGGGGAGGAGTGTATGTGCCAGATGTGAATGAGGCCTACCAAGAATTTGTAAACACTTTTATAACACTCCATAATAAAAACTGTCCACTAAAGTTATGCAAAAATAGAACTGCATTTGAGAATAAACCATGGATAACCCCGGGGCTACAGAGGTCATGTCAAAAGAAAAACAAAATGTATAGAAACTTTCTGAAATACAGAACTCAAATTCGTGATAATAAATATAAAGCGTATAAAAACAAATTAACAATCATACTGCGTTGGGCTAAAAAAGACTATTACAAAAACAAATTGGAAGAGAATAAGAATAATATAAAAGAAACCTGGAAAATTTTGAATAAAGTAATGCGGCCAAATGCCCAATCAAAGAAACTACCAGAATACTTTATACATAATGATAAACACATAAACAATGACATTGATGCAGCTAATGAGTTTAATTCCTTCTTTGTAAATGTGGGAGCCAATATTGCAAGCAGTTCAGACAATCCCAAGCAAGTTATTACCAACTGCAGGTCAGAGAGTGGAGGGAGTAGAATTCTACACTCAATGTACCTCAATGCAATAACAGAAAATGACATCTTTAACATTGTTAAAAAATGCAATAATAAGACCTCAGTGGATTGTGACGGCCTGGACATGATCTTAGTAAAGAAGACCATCGACTGTGTCCTCACTCCTCTGACCTACATCTTCAACCTTTCTTTCAGCACTGGCATTTTCCCTCAGAAAATGAAAACTGCTAAAATAATACCCTTATTTAAAGATGGCGATAATCATTTATTAAATAACTACAGACCAGTGTCATTATTATCTCAGTTTTCCAAAATCATAGAAAAATGGTTCACACAGAAATTTGATGCATTTTTAGAGAGAAATAATTTACTTTTTGAACACCAGTACGGATTCAGATCAAACAGATCAACTTCTCTTGCACTCATTCATCTAACAGATGAAATATTGGCAGCTATTGACAAAAAGCAATACTTGGTTAGTATTTTTTTAGATCTACAGAAAGCTTTTGACACGGTGGATCATAAACTATTGTTAACAAAACTAAATAATTATGGCATAAGAGGCCAGATCCATAAATGGCTGAAAAGCTATCTAACTAACAGACAGCAATATGTTCAAATAAATGGCAGTAACTCTGACTGTAAAACAATCATATCTGGGATTCCTCAAGGTTCCATAATTGGCCCAAAACTTTTTATTTTATTCATTAATGATATTCATGAAATTACCAAAAACATGGACTTTCTTTTATTTGCAGATGACACCACCGTTTGCAAAGCTGGAAATGATTTAGACGCATTAATAACAGACATGGAAGTTGAAATGACACAACTAAAAACATGGTTTGATAGCAATTATTTATATCTAAATTGGAAAAAAACTAAATGTATGATTTTTGGAACTAGAAAACATTCAGAACAGAAAGAAATTATTATCGGAAATACAACTATTGAAAATGTTTCAGAAATAAAATTTTTGGGTGTCAAGTTAGACAATAAACTTAATTGGAAAAGTCACATTAACTATATAAATAATAAAATTAGTAAATCCATTGGTATTTTATATAAGGTTAAACATATATTTGATGAGAAAGCATTGTTCAGGATTTATACATCTATAATTGTGCCATATTTTCTGTATTGTATTGAGGTCTGGGGCAATGCTTGCAAAAGTTTCACAAATCAAGTTTTCCTGCTCCAAAAGAAAGCAATAAGAATCATTAATCACAAAGGTCCAAGAGACCACACCAATGATCTTTTCATTAAACATAACACCTTAAAATTTTCAGATCTTTTTCAGTTAAAAACTATATTAGCCATGTGGAAAATCAGAAATCAATTGGTTCCTGAGCACATTTACAGGAAATTCATTTTAATCACTGAAGACAGCAGGAGGAAAGGAAACTTTTGTGTACCATTTACCCGCACGTCACTAAAACAAAGAGGCTTTGTTGTTTCTGGAATCAGGCTCTGGAACAGTTTGGGCAACGATCTTCAATCACATCACACCATAGACCAAATGAAACGCATGTATACTTTATACTTAATGGACAAATATAGATATGTGTAGATGAATATGTATGGATATGAATGTATTTGTATGTAGATTTATGTGCATATGTGTACATACTTTGATATGTGCATGCCTGTGTGTGTATGTGTACATACTTTGATATGTGCATGCCTGTGTGTGTGTATGTGTACATACTTTGATGTGTGCATATTTGTGTGTGTGTGTATATGCGTGTACAAAATATTTGGAATTAGAGGTTAAAATAAAGTAAAATGTGTGTTAATCACTGACCAATACATATTTCAAAAAACTATTTAGAAAAAAAAAAAAAAGAGAATAATAACAATAGTAATTATATTGTGAGGAAACTAAATGTGTGTATATTGTATATAAGCAAATGTGTGTAGATTGTATATAAGCAAATGTGTGTAGATTGTATTTTTATTTATTTTTTTGAGGCGCTCATCATCATCAAAATAAGTGTTATTTTTTTTTCTTTTTTGCTTTAGGGGCATGAACAATAAGACTCGGTCTTCAACATGCTCCTATTCTGACATGTGAACTGTATATTTCAATCCTTTGATGTATTGTTTGGTATATCGTTAAACACATGTAAAGAATAAAGAATAAAAGAAAAGAAAGAAAGAAAAGAAAGAAAGAAAGAAGCAGGAGGGAGCAGGAGGAGCAGGAGAGAGCAGGAGGAGCAGCAGGGAGCAGGAGGAGCAGGAGGAGCAGGAAGGAGCAGGAGGAGCAGGAGGGAGCAGGAGAGAGCAGGAGGAGCAGGAGGGAGCAGGAGGAGCAGGAGGGCCCAGGAGGGAGCAGGAGGGAGCAGGAAGGAGCAGGGGGGAGCAGGAGGAGCAGGAGGGAGCAGGAAGGAGCAGGAGGGAGCACGAGAGAGCAGGAGGGAGCAGGAGGGAACAGGAGAGAGCAGGAGGGAGCAGGAGGGAGCAGGAGGGAGCAGGAGGGAGCAGGAAGGAGCAGGAGAGAGCAGGAGGGAGCAGGAGGGAACAGGAGAGAGCAGGAGGAAGCAGGAGGGAGCAGGAGGGAGCAGGAGGGAGCAGGAGGAGCAGGAGGGAGCAGGAAGGAGCAGGGGGGAGCAGGAGGAGTAGGAGGGAGCAGGAAGGAGCAGGAGGGAGCAGGAGGAGCAGGAGGGAGCAGGAGGAGCAGGAGGGAGCAGGAAGGAGCAGGAGAGAGCAGGAGGAGTAGGAGGGAGCAGGAGGGAACAGGAGAGAGCAGGAGGGAGCAGGAGAGAGCAGGAGGGAGCAGGAGAGAGCAGGAGGGAGCAGGAGGGAGCAGGAGAGAGCAGGAGGAGCAGGAGTACTGTGCTCCTCCAGATGACTGTGACAGGTGAAGTTCAGCAGCTCTTTAGTTCATCCCAAACATCAATAACAGATTTCCATCTCTCCTCGTCAGGAACAATGGTCACTTTAGTGCGGTGTCCAGAGACACATCTCCACTACCAGATCTGGGGGGTGGGGGAATCCGGAGTACCCGGAGGAAACCCATCCAGACATGGGGAGAAACATGCTAACACCTCAGAAAGATAGAACCCATGATCTTCTGAGTGCTGCCCACTCTGCAAATATAAACATAATCCTATCATTGAACTCTGCTTCCACCTTTGGGTTCCCACAAACTTTGTAATAATAATGAAATATAATAATATAATATAATAAGTAATAATAGAAAATGAAAACGTCCTCTCTTCTTTCCTCATACATCTGAACTTGACCAAAGGTGACATGTTCTGTTCCAAACCCACTCCCTCCTCTTTCTCTAAACAGTGTTATCTGGAGCCCACCTCAGCGCTGTGCTTTCTTATACTGCCGTATCGTGACCATCTTCACCTCCTCCTCCTCCTCCCCCCCCATCCAGAGGCCTCCCTCGCTCTAATCTGCCCTAAGTGTTTACAGACCCTGGTCTCTCCGAGGAGGTCAGCTGGACTTTCCCAAACAAAGCCATCTAAACCAGGTGAGCTGCAGAGTCAGAGCCACACCGGCTCGAGGAACGACGGAATCTGAGGAGAGAGTCAGTGAGAAGACACACTGGATCTACAGCCTCAGTCCTCGTTCTACAGTCTGAGTTCTGGATCTACAGCCTCAGTCCTCGTTCTACAGTCTGAGTCCTGGATCTACAGCCTCAGTCCTCGTTCTACAGTCTGAGTCCTGGATCTACAGCCTCAGTTCTCGTTCTACAGTCTGAGTCCTGCATCCAACCCTCAGCGCCTTCCACAGTCACAATAAACTTTACAAATGTTGTTGGCTCCAATTTGTCTGTCACTCAAACCCTGGACCTTCTTGTTCACATGTACAAAAATTACTATGTTATACATAATGTACTGTACTGTATAATCTAGCGCGCTTGGATGAACAGTACCTTAAACTTGATTCTTGCTTCTTCATTATTCCAAAGTTAGAAAGTGTATTTTATTTTATTTTATTTTAGAGTCATTGTTCATTTATCTTGTGCTGTGTCCTCCTCATTCCTGCTGTTATGTAACTGGTGATGCAACACTGACATTTCTCCACAGTGGGACAAATAACGCAGCGTTCCCCAACACCATCAGCTGCAACTAATACAACATTAAAACTCTGTCTTTATAAACCAGAAAAAGTCATTCTCATCAAAGTGTATTCTATGTTAAATCAGATAAACACAAACAATCTTCTCACATGATTCTCAACAACAAGGTGAAAATGGATCATTCCCAAAGGCACACCAACGAACCACGGCCCACTGGTTGAAAAACTCTGGAATAAAGCATCTCTTAATCTTAATCTTAATCTGACCATCGGAGGCAAACCCAACTCCTCGTGTGTGGTTTGAACAACAACAAAAGCGTCTGGTGTTTTTGCAGCAATGAAGCAGCAGAGTGTGGCTAAACAGTGGAACACAGGCGGGGTCACAGGTCACGCCGCGAGTTGGATCCAGTTTAGATGAAGTGAGATGTGAGAAGGAGAGGGATCAGACCCGCGCCGGGGTCAGGGAGGTCCAGGCAGAACCGCAGCCATGGATACGGCGAGCGGAGCAGGCGCTAAACCGGTGCCTTCACAACCCGAGAGTGTTTTTCTGTCTGAGCCGCGGATCTACGACAGGCGAGAGAGGAAGCCAGACTGTCACAGGGATGGGGACCGGATTAAGAGGACCACTGAGGAACCCCGGGGTCAAGGCCGAGTCGCGAGTCCAGCTATGACACCCCAGGAGCTCTGAAGACCGTGGGGGGGCTCTCTGTGTGCGAGCAAAGATCAACAGAGAAGCACGGAGGAGATAGGCAGTGTGGGAAGGGAAGTCCAGAGTTTCCAGCCCTGTGCCTAGGTACACAAACTCTGGCTGATTGCTTCTCAATTGAACCGAAAAGCCGCTCACACATGAGAGCAGAGATGTGGACCGAGCACGCAGAAAACCCGACGGCGAACGACACGGATAAACAACTTCAAAACATACAGATTTACAAATGCTCAGATTAAGGAGATCAGAGAGTAAAAGTATAATCCATCAGTTCAGTGTTTAGACAGCCAACCATTGTGCAAGTTGGTAAAGAAAATGAGAGATCCCTGTACTTTTCATCATAGGTGTAGGAGACTATTCAATTCAACTTGGTGTTTTTGTGGACTTTGTAGAGAGTCTTACAAATTATGAAGATGTGGATTCGCCAACACAGATCAGAAAATCAAACAAGTCCTGAGTGTCTCTGAAACAGTTGTTGTTTTGAGTTTTACAATTGTTATTTTTGTTTTTGCTTTTTTCTGCCTGAGATGTTGCTGCAGTTCAGTGTTCATGGTTTTACACTGGTCCAGACCAGAGCAGAGAGGATTCATGGTTTTACACTGGTCCAGACCAGAGCAGAGAGGATTCATGGTTTTACACTGGTCCAGACCAGAGCAGAGAGGATTCATGGTTTTACACTGGTCCAGACCAGAGCAGAGAGGATTCATGGTCCCAAACAAGTGGATCAGGTGAAAATGTTCTGGAGGAGGTTATGAAAAATGCTAATGAAGCATTTTACTTTGGACCAGAGCAGAGAAAGTGGTTTGAACTAAGCGGCTCCACCTCTGCTGCTGTGACCTGAAGGACTGTTAACTATTTTTTAGAAAGATCTATTGTTGGCCTTTGCATGTTACAATAATGACTATCTATTTTTTTTTAACTAGTAATTATTGTAATAAGCAAGGACAAGGTGATACTGATGTATTTGTCATGTTACATTCACAGTGGGTGACAGTGGCTCAGTTAGTAGAGCATCGGCCTTTGAGCCTGAAGGTCGTAGGTTCGAGCCCACCACGAGACTGAGCTGATACTTTACCTCAGGGGTCTCCAACCTGTGGCTCATTATCTCCCAGTAGCTCCCAGTAGCTCACCAACCTCTTTCAGGTATAGCTCCCCAAAGGATGGAAGAATTCAACATCCTGAATGATTGACATTTGAGTCATCGCATCTGTTTGAACTCTAAATCTTCATTAATGCAGAGAAACAATGCTTTATTATTACGACTGATGAAGGAGTAACTCTGACAGGTACCTCTAAAGCTGGGGTACCTCACTTTTTTAAATTACAAATACAGTTACATTGTGAGTCTTGTTGTGAAAGAGTCAGTCTTCATCTTTATGGACACTTAAAGAGGCAGGTCAGTGATTTTTTTTCAGACACATATTTTTTAATACTGTGGGAAAAAGTTATCATGTGTTTCCAAATAGTAATGGAATTGACCAGATGCCTTTAGTCTCCAAAAATAATAACAAATATTTTGGAGTGGACCGATAAAAATGAACCAATGGGATTAATTCATCCCCAACGAACCAATGGGATGTGTTTACCCCCTTCACCCTCTTCCTGTTTCTCGTGAGTGCACCGGAGTTATCGTATTTTCTAAAACCTAAAATGGCTGAACAGAAAATGCCAATTTCACGTTTGCTTCACTCTCCCTGTTGTGACAAAGAAAAGAAAATGCTGGATGTTTGGTTTGGTGGAGAGGGAGGGGAGGGGGGAGTGGTTTCATGTTGGTGCTAACGGCTAAGCTAACAACATCACTTACTGCACCTTTAAAGGAGAGCCCTGGGAGTCACTATTTGACTTTTGGGCTGAGAGCTGATTGAGGATTGTTCTGTTTATGTCACTTTTCGGTGTGGAAGTTGTGTCAGGGGCCAAAAAACATGCATCTGAAAACAAGTGAAAAACTATTTTAAGAAATTTGTTTGTAGTTTTAGAGTTATGCATTGTTGTATAGTATCGTTGCGGTCTTTTGTCTGACGCACTTCGAGTTCCGTGTGTACTTGTGCTGGTCTTAGTAAACTCACGATGGTCCGATCTCCTCTCTGCTTCTGTAGTCCCTCCAGACCGGTCCCTCTGTGCTCTGGACTCTGCACAGTAATTACCCAGGTGCCACGGAGCAGAACCAGAATCTGCAGCTGTAATGAATGACACGGCAGGTCAGGTGACTTCCTGTTTGCTGACCCCTGACCTCTGCTCGGACTCTTCGTCTTAATTATTGCAATGATGTGACAGCGCGTCCGTGAATGTGAAATCTCAATACGTCTTCCAGAAGAGTATTTTTAGAATGAGACCCATGAAGAATGAAAATAATGACGTCATTGTGTATTTAACCAATAAACGTTTCATTATTGGGCAAAAATGGAAAAGATCTGCACAAAAAGGTGATTTATTTATTATTAACTATGTGTTTATTGCACTAAAATATGTCAATTAAACAACTTTGCATGTGTGTGTGTGTGTGTATGTATGTATGTGTATGTGTATGTGTGTGTGTGTGAGGGAGAGTGTGTGTGTGTGTGTCCAAATAATAAAAATTGTATGTTTTGTTGTTGCTCGATATATTTAAAAAAATGGTTGTATCAATAAAGAGCCAACGACTGAAGAGTTCTGAGCTTCATTCATTTGATTCTTTTTTGTTGTTCGGCAACCAGCCTTCTATGGTATTCAAGGGAATGTTTCGTTTGGTTTAAATAAAGCTTTTCAAACTACAGTGACGGACCGTCTCAAGGGACATCACTCAGGAGTATGTGTGTGTTGTGTTGCCGTGGTAACAAGACAAGCATTTGTCTTGTTACCATATGTGTCTGAGGTTGGACGGTGGACCAGGACACCAGGACCAGGACACCAGGACTTGGACACCAGGACCAGGACACCAGGAGGGAAACCCAACTCCTAGGACTAGGACACAAGGACCCCAGGACTAGGACACCAGGACTGGGACCAGGTCCAGGACACCAGGACTAGGACACCAGGACTGGGACCAGGTCCAGGACACCAGGACTAGGACACCAGGACACAAGGACACCAGGACCAGGACACAAGGACACCAGGACTAGGACACCAGGACCAGGACTAGGTCACAAGAACACCAGGACTAGGACGCCAGGACTAGGACACCAGGACTAGGACACCAGGACCAGGACTAGGTCACAAGGACACCAGGACTAGGACACCAGGACCAGGACTAGGTCACAAGAACACCAGGACTAGGACGCCAGGACTAGGACACCAGGACTAGGACACCAGGACTAGCACACCAGGACCAGGACACCAGGACTAGGACACCAGGACTAGGACACCAGGACACCAGGACTAGGACACCAGGACCAGGACACCAGGACTAGGACACCAGGACCAGGACACCAGGACTAGGACACCAGGACTAGGACTAGGACACCAGGACAAGGACACCAGGACTAGGACACCAGGACTAGGACACAAGGACACCAGGACTAGGACAAGGACACCAGGACTAGGACACCAGGACTAGGACACCAGGACAAGGACACCAGGACAAGGACACCAGAGGACACCAGTATTGAATATGTGTGTGTGTGTGTGTTTGTTGGTTTTGTTGACCATAGAAATAAAGTTTAACTTTCCAAACGATAAAAATGTTATGTTTTGTTGTTGCTCGATACAGTTGACATCTATGAGATGACAAGTGAAAAGTTGGAAGCAAATGAAATTCAGTCGTCTGTATCAGCTAAATACTTTCCTACTCAACGAATGTTCACGCAGAGGACTTGCCTTCATTGAGAATGTAATCTGTTCTGGAATAGGCATGAGCTTTTTGAAGGGAAAGGGCCACATCTGAACACTTACGGAGTAAAAGTGGATAACCTTTGGATAACCTTTCTTTTGCCCTGAAACCTCAGCCTGCGCAGCACGTGCAGCCATCGAAAGGGAGGAAGAAGCTAAGTGTCTTTCCGGCAACAACACAAACATCTCCACCGACTGCAAAAGTCTTTGCACCTCCACCACCACTGTCATCAGGAGCAGCTGCATCATCACCAGCAGCAGCTGCATCATCACCAGTAGCAGCACCAGCAGCACGACCACCACCACCAACATCATCACTTGGCTTGACCAAAATTCAGAAAATGCAGTTTTAATAGAAGCATCACCACATGTTCTGTAAGACCTTATAGACTTACAGAACATATTGGAGTTTTGTCATTGCCAACAAAGGGAATGTCACTAGGTATTGAAATGGACTTTTATTATTGACTCAATACTTATGTTACATCCATCCATCCATCTTCTTCCCCTTAATCCATTTCTGGATTGGGGGGGTGGCAGTGTTGTAGGTCCTTATATGTCACTCAGACCTGATGTGTGTGTTGTAGGTCCTAATATGTCACTCAGACCGGATGTGTTTGTTGTAGGTCCTAATATGTCACTCAGACCTGTCAAGGTCCTCATATGTGGCAATAAAATCATGCGGGAAAAAAGTTTCTTTTAACCAAAATATCAACAGCTAGCTGTGTTACTGATCACACCCTGCTCCCCCCTATGTGATCCTCAGGTCTCTGGGACCTTCAGAAAGGCACGTCCTGATATGTCACAGTGCAGACATAGGTCCTCATTTGTCACGCAAACGCGTATGTGTGTGTGTGTGAGGGAGAGTGTGTGTGTTGTTGTTGTTGACCATAGAATTAAAGTTGAACTTTCCAAATGATAAAAATGTTATGTTTTGTTGTTGCTCGATATATTTAAAAAAAATGGTTGTATCAATAAAGAGCCAACGACTGAAGAGTTCTGAGCTTCATTCATTTGATTCTTTTTTTGTTGCTCGGCAACAAGCCTTCTATGGTATTCAAGGGAATGTTTCGTTTGGTTTAAATAAAGCTTTTCAAACTACAGTGACGGACCGTCTCAAGGGACATCACTCAGGAGTATGTGTGTGTTGTGTTGCCGTGGTAACAAGACAAGGATTTGTCTTGTTACCATATGTGTCTGAGGTTGGACGGTGGACCAGGACACCAGGACCAGGACACCAGGACTTGGACACCAGGACCAGGACACCAGGAGGCAAACCCAACTCCCAACTCCTAGGACTAGGACACAAGGACACCAGGACTAGGACAACAGGACTGGGACCAGGACACCAGGACCAGGACTAGGACACCAGTACTGGGACACCAGGACCAGGACACAAGTACACCAGGACACAAGGACACCAGGACTAGGACACCAGGACTAGGTCACAAGGACACCAGGACTAGGACACCAGGACTAGGACACCAGGACCAGGACACCAGGACCAGGACACCAGGACCAGGACTAGGACACCAGGACTAGGACACCAGGACCAGCACACCAGGACCAGGACACCAGGACCAGGACACCAGGACCAGGACACCAGGACCAGGACACCAGGACCAGGACACCAGGACCAGGACACCAGGACCAGGACACCAGGACTAGGACACCAGGACTAGGACACCAGGACTAGGACACCAGGACAAGGACGAGGACACCAGTATTGAATATGTGTGTGTGTGTGTGTGTTTGTTGGTTTTGTTGACCATAGAAATAAAGTTTAACTTTCAAACGATAAAAATGTTATGTTTTGTTGTTGCTCGATACAGTAGACATCTATGAGATGACAAGTGAAAAGTTGGAAGCAAATTAAATTCAGTCGTCTGTATTTTTTGCCGGAATCTTTCAGATTGACATTGTCATGCAATTTTGATATCCACAATTTTTTTTTTAAAGACCCGGCAAAAGGTCTTTAACTGCGAGCCTTCGAAAGCTAGACCAATTCCCCAAATAAAAGGCAAAATGGTGACATGGTGGAGTGCGGTTGATGGTACGAACATAAACCAAATGTGTCTTTTCATCTGATACCTGCTTCTGATGAAGACGACGATGGCCAGCGGCAATCAACTGAACGGACCGGGAGCCATCCCAGTACTCCCGAATTTGCAGTGAACACTTTTTACAAGATAAATCAATTACAATTTTGTATTTATTGTCGTTCTATTCATTTATTTGGAGAACAATGACACAACGAATGGTTGATGAAGCGTTTGAAGTCAAATGTTTTTAACTCGTTCACTGCTACAGCCATCCAGACAGCTGCATTTCTAACTATTTTCCTCTCCGTCCGAAGGTGGGACTTAACTGTAATATTGGAATTAATAAAATGACTTATTTTATATCAACATTTAAGGCCAGGAGGTCAATTTAACACATTTCTTAAAATATGTAGTTAATTTAGAGTTACATACTATCACTTTAAAGTCAGAAAAAAATCACAGTTCAAACCAGTGAGGGCGGGACTTGGCTCAAAAATTTCCAAAATATCGTTTGCTGACATGCTGCAATACCACCCCGGGCCAGTGGGGAGTGCACCAGGAATAAGAATTAGCCAATGCTAAAGCATCTTCTTACCGCTCTAAAATCTCTTCACAGGATGGTCCAAAGCTACGTTCCAGATGTTGTCGATGTTGAGGGGAGTATAATTTTTTTGGACCAGTCTAGTTTAGCTGCAGTACACTTTAGAATGCACTCGTTAAATGAATGGGGCTGGTGCAGCTGACGCATGCGCAAATAAGTTTTTCACATTGTCCAGCCCCGTGGCCATTTTAAAACTGCCCGAAGAGGAAAAAAGTGATGTCACATTAGTTTGAGCGGCGGAGATAAACGTGACTACGTCTGTTAATATTTACTGTCTATGGTTCAAACACAGGAAATGCAATGATAAAAACACACAGAGCCAGGTCCATAACGGCCAGATGACCTCAGTCCATAAATGTTCATAAAGTCCATATCTGGATCATATCAAGTCCTGGATCATCACCTCTGTCCTTAGACCCTCCTGAAACATGAAACCAGAGAGCAGGACGTTTAAACATCTTTCTCCGTGCTTTCATTAGAGTCCATAAAGCCTCCTCCTGGCTCCCTGCGAAGACCACTCAATAAGTCTGTCCATGACCCGGTGTGTTCACGGCTCGTCTCTGCTCCTCACTGTTGTTCTTTCTGTCTGTGGAGGCCTCACGCTGCGTCATCACTGTTTACCTTCTGCACGGCCCGACTGTCCCAGGACTGTGTGTGGGCCGGACCCCCCCAGGACCTGCTGTTAGGAACACATGACCTCTGATTGGACGGACAGGTTCCGCTCCATTATGGGGGTGACTGACCGACTAGAATCCCACGTGTCTGTGCATTTCCAAGTTCACTCCACGGGATGATTCTGCACAAAGGAGGCCGATGATTTACATGCGACGAAGACTGAGGAAAATGTAGAAGCCGAAAGTGTTAAAAACATCTCATCCAAGCAAAGGACATCTTTCATCTTCATCTTAGTTTTGTTTTGGTTGAACAAGCCCAGATAGCGTCCCAAACCTCTCAGAGAACAGACTTTTGCTGCTGCTAAACTGTGGAATAGTGACATCTGTGCATTAGAGCAGCTCCATTGGAGGTTTTTAAATCAAATCTAAAAACACATTTGTGCCTCAGCTTTTAATACTGGCTGAAATCTACGGTTTTACATTTTACATGTCTTTGTGTATTTTGTACTGTTTTCTTGTCTTTTCTTTTGGGCCTGGTGTTGTAAATTTGCTTAACAAATAAAGCTGACTAATTTTACTAAATGTTTGTGCACTTGTATTTATTAGTAATTTTAAGAAATATTTTGCAGCTGGAGTATAATGGCTCAGTGGCGTCTCCGGTTCAGGGATATTAATTTGTCTCTCGATGTGGTCTTTTTTGTTGTTTTCTCTGCTATGTATCGCAAAACAATATTGGAAATGTGAATTTTCATGTTTATAATTGTTCACTTTATTTTTGGCAATTATTTTGTTTAGTTTATCATTTTGTATTTATTTTGTATAATTATTAGAAGAAAAAGTAGAGGCATCTCTTGCATCATGTGATAGATGTGCAAATTTGTTTTGTCTTGATATAATGTAGAATTGTATGTTTTTGTAAAATGTTAAAAATAAGCAAAAGTAAAAACAGCACTTTTATAGTTTGTGACTTCTTATTACTCATGTTAATATCAATAATTCTGATTCTGACGTCTTGTTTTGTTTTTTTTCCTGAAGAAATTGAGCAAAATCCGTCATTTCACCCGACAATGACTTTATCAAACTAAGAATTGTTGCAGTACTCACATGAATTACTCTCAGTTGCAGAAATTCTGATAGAGACTTAAACGGCGTGTAACCGTCCATTTTTAACAAGCCAGCCAAGGCCAGGTGTACAATAAATCCATATGGTTTTACAAGACCAGCGAGGGTTTTCAGACTAAGCAACCAGCCTGATCACTTACAGAGAATGTAAACACTGACGAGGCATTTGGCATGGTCATGTCCCACTTTATATACAGCTAAGCAAAAATCTGGGTGGTGATACTCGCTAATGTGCACCATTTCATCAAGAAAAAATAAATAGGCTGGAATTTTGACACGTGGAGAGGTGAAAATGACTGTGACATTCCTGGCATAATAAATATTGAAATGGATCATTTAGTTATCTACCGCTGGAGGTGCGTCACGGGCACCGCAACCACAGGACAATATATCTGCATTTACTTTGCTTTGTCTCAAGAAACGCAAAGTGAAAAGTACAAAAATCTACACTGCAAACTTGGTCCAGATGACTCTTTTCGTAAATTTTTCTCCTGAAGGAATGAGGGGTTATACCAGCATTAACGATCTGTTTTATTTTTTCTAAAGGCCTGTTTCAGAATCTTTTTTTTGTAAATTTCCAGTGAAACTACATTGAAATAAAGGTGCAAAAGCCAATCTATGAAATATATGTCAATACAAGTGCATGATTTAGACAAAGCTCAACAGGGAAAAACCTTTTTGGAGTAAAAAATGTAAAACTGTTAAATTGAAATCGTTACTCCCTATTGTCATCTTGTCACAATCTAAAACTGTTGCATAGTACACGGCAGTTTGGGTAAACAAAGCCAAATGTCTGTGTGGTTTGAGCTAGCCCTAGCAGCTGTCAATACTCTACAAGCGTCATGCTAACAATTGTCGAGATTCAACTTAGAGATAAAAGCACTTCATTCAAGACATTTGTGATGGAGCGAAGAAGCAGCAGAAGCCAAGACCGCTATGGACTACCCTGTGGTGGGACAACTTTATTGACTCGGTAGTAGACGCCAGAGCACAGTATGAATATTTCCGTTCATCCAAACACTCCCACATATTTTCACATTGATGAAAAAGTAAATTTTATTCTCTCTCATTCCAGCTTCAAATGTTTAAATCATTTCTATTATTGTCCTTAGTGAAAAATCAATGGACCGAGACATGACCCCTGGGGAACCCCTTTCATAAACATAATGATAATAATACTATATTGGTTTTATATTGCGCTGTTGTAGACACTCAAAGATGCTTCCCATGTCATTATTCATTCACTCCATACACGGTGGTGATGAACTCCTAATGTAGCCATAGCTGCCCTGGGGCACACTGACAGAAGCGAGGCAACCGGTATGTGCCACCACCAAACATTCACATACACTCGAGCTTCATTCTAATGTGGGTGAATTGTCTTGCCACAAGGACACCACAACAGTTTAGCACTTTACAGCCATCCCACTGTGGTCCCAGAGGTCTCCCATCACAACACTAACCAGGCCCTGTTCTGTCTTACAGGATCTGGCTTTCAGACTTAGCTACGGCCACATAACATTATAGTTTGGCATTTCCCTGACCTCAATTGTGTGAAAAATCTTTGTTTTAAGTTCATAAATGATTTTAGCCGCTGTGGTTGCAGATGCCGTGGTTGCAGATTCTGTGGTTGCAGATGCCGTGGTTGCAGATTCTGTGGTTGCAGATGCCGTGGTTGCAGATGCCGTGGTTGCAGATGCCGTGGTTGCAGATGCCGTGGTTGCAGATGCCGTGGTTGCAGATGCCGTGGTTCCAGATGCCGTGGTTGCAGATGCAGTGGTTGCAGATTCCGTGGTTGCAGAGATGCCGTAGTTGCAGATGCCGTGGTTGCAGATGCCGTGGTTCCAGATGCCGTGGTTCCAGATGCCGTGGTTGCAGATGCCGTGGTTGCAGATGCCGTGGTTGCAGATGCCCTGGTTGCAGATGCCCTGGTTGCGGATGCCGTCGTTGCAGATAACATGGTTGCAGATGCCGTGGTTGCAGATGCCGTGGTTCCAGATGCCGTGGTTCCAGATGCCGTGGTTGCAGATGCCGTGGTTGCAGATGCCCTGGTTGCAGATGCCCTGGTTGCAGATGCCCTGGTTGCGGATGCCGTCGTTGCAGATAACATGGTTGCAGATGCCGGGGTTGCAGATGCCGTGGTTCCAGATGCCGTGGTTCCAGATGCCGTGGTTGCAGATGTCGTGGTTGCAGATGCCGTTGTTGCAGATGCCGTGGTTGCAGATGCAGTTGTTGCAGATGCCGTGGTTGCAGATGCCGCGGTGCAGATGCCGTTGTTGCAGATGCCGTGGTGCAGATGCCGTTGTTGCAGATGCCGTGGTTGCAGATGCCGTGGTTGCAGATGCCGTGGTTGCAGATGCCGTGGTTGCAGATGCCGTAGTTGCAGATGCCGTGGTTGCAGATGCAGTTGTTGCAGATGCCGTGGTTGCAGATGCCCTGGTTGCAGATGCCGTCATTGCAGATGCCGTGGTTGCAGATGCAGTTGTTGCAGATGCCGTGGTTGCAGATGCCGCGGTTGCAGATGCCGCAGTTGCAGATGCCGTGGTTGCAGATGCCCTGGTTGCAGATGCCGTCATTGCAGATGCCGTGGTTGCAGATGCAGTTGTTGCAGATGCCGTGGTTGCAGATGCCGCGGTTGCAGATGCCGCAGTTGCAGATGCCGTGGTTCCAGATGCCCTGGTTGCAGATGCCGTCATTGCAGATGCCGTGGTTGCAGATGCAGTTGTTGCAGATGCCGTGGTTGCAGATGCCGCGGTTGCAGATGCCGCAGTTGCAGATGCCGTGGTTCCAGATGCCCTGGTTGCAGATGCCGTCGTTGCAGATGCCGTGGTTGCAGGTGCCGTGGTTGCAGATGCCGTGGTTGCAGATGCCGTGGTTGCAGATTCTGTGGTTGCAGATTCTGTGGTTGTAGATGCTGTGGTTGCAGATTCTGTGGTTGCAGATGCTGTGGTTGTAGATGCTGTGGTTGCAGATGCCGTGGTTGCAGATGCCGTGGTTGCAGATGCCGTGGTTGCAGATTCTGTGGTTGCAGATTCTGTGGTTGTAGATGCTGTGGTTGCAGATTCTGTGGTTGCAGATGCTGTGGTTGTAGATGCTGTGGTTGCAGATGCCGTGGTTGCAGATGCCATTGTTGCAGATGCCGTAGCCCCTGAGCGCGGCCCAGTTAGCCATCGACTCGGATAATGATGTGGGCTGGCATCAACAAAGCACAGATAAATGTTCAGCGCGGCAGAATGACCTCAGCGCGCCTGTCCAAATACACAGGTGCTCTCCGCTTTCCACTTCCCGGTGTCCAACAAAACCAGCCCAAACCCTGCTGCCATTTGCACCCTTTCATTTATTTAGTTTCCCGCTGAAAACATAAACCTTTACTTTGCCGTGTGTGTTCGCAGAGTGAGGGTTGGAGATGGCGGTGGAGGAGGTCGGCCATGTCCCGGACCCGCTCCAACATTACTGTAGTTTGTGAATGTGTCCGGTGAGGCGTTTGAAGGTCCATCCATCATTGCGCCGCCGCGAGGGTTTCGGTTAAGGCTAATAAACAGGACACAGCTCATTCGATGTTGATAATATATTCCGTTGTTTAAGGCCTGAGACTACAAACTTGTGGTCTTGTTGTTGTTGTAGTGGTGAACTAATGAGGTTATTAGAAGCTAAGAAAAGTTCATTCCAGTTTAAATACAAAAAGGTGCACTGCTGGACGGCTAACAGGTGTGCACACATGTTATTGCTCATTTTACTTAGTGCCAGAGCCTCATTCTGCTAACATGTACAGACGTAAACATACAGCTGTAGTGATATATAGGATTATATACTTGCTTTTTTATCATACTAACATTAGAGAATTCATACTTGATTCTTTATTATGCTTGTAATGTGGTGATGTGAATGAGGACCCAAAATTGCAGGAATGCCAAAAATAAGGGTTGAATGAGAATAACCATAAAAGTCCAGGAGAAAACAATCTCAAAACTCAAAGGCACATGGAACACAGAATCAGGACCAGGACGGAACAGACATTGACAATACAAGGGACCAGCAACAAGGGGAGACCATCAAGACTGCAGGGAAACCAGGACAGGAAGTTACAGATTCTATACTAGCTTCTTTATTATGCTAAAGTTAGAGATTGTCTTTTATTTCAGTATAGAGTTATAGAGACATTTCCCCACTGTAGGACAAATAAAGGATCAGCAAAGGTACATCAGCAAAGGTACAACCTTCTCCTGGATCCTGGAACTCCTCTAACTATCAATCTACTTCATTTTTCAGAACCTGCAAATACAACACATGACACAATATTTTACAGACTCTGAATTAGATTTTTTGGTTTTGTTTATTACAGCAATGATACAGTTCTGTAAATATAAAAAGCTGTTGGTCCCAAGTCCAAAGCTTCACCACAACAAAAATACAAAATTTATATTTATATAATTCATTTATTGAGGTGAAATGTTATTAATGTTAAAAATGTAAACCAAAACGGGATAGGATTTACATTCATACACATACATATGATGATATTGTATCTGTTTTTACTATTTTGTCAAAACAGATTCATGAGAAATCTGTCATTTTGTCCTGTGCAATTCAAAAAAAATGTTGAGAAAAGGAGGAAATTCAAGCCACCCTTGACATAAAATAAAGATGATCAGGGACTGAGGCCACAGGTTTGGGCCTCGTAGGACCTTATTTAGTAATGTCTGAGACTACAGGGACCAGCTGTGGTCACTGTACCTGTGATCTGCTCATAAAGAATCATATCAATTCACACCTTTACAAAATGCAATAAAACCAGATTAGTGCATCATTTCGAACAATCAATCTTTCTAAAGGATGTTGCAGTAATACTGTGTAACTATGGGCTGTATTGTATTGTGTCCTTAATTAAGACACAATACCCCGTGTGCGGATCATCAACAGTGACTCTGCATAAAGATGATCAGAAATGCAGCTGTGTGGTCACTAAGCCACATGCTGCACACTTTGAACTGAAGCTCCAGGATTTAAGAACAGCCCCTTTAGTGCACTCAATAAGTGCAGTTCTACCAATACAGAAAAGTCTCTTCACTGAGACCTGGATGTACAGTATCATGCTTTTAGAGTTTCTATCCAGTATGTGTCCCTCTGGTAGAGCTTTGAAAGACTACTATGGGCATTATTTCGAGTTTTCTGATTTGGCACTGGACTGAGGTCTAGATACTGTGCTGGAAATGTTGGCTATAACTTAATTAGATGCAACAGTCGAATGTGACCCAGTTGTCAATCGTGTCTATTTAAATTCAAGGAGATAAAACCCAGGCTAAGATGTGTATAAGTATTGGAGAGGCGGTTGTGTTGCTCTGCAGGACCTGCTCTTATCACGGATCAAAATGGAACAAAATGACCACTGATTTACTCTGCATCGCTTTCCCTTCCAGACCGATTACTTAACTCACTTTGTCATATTAAGTAATCGCCGCAGCTCTCTATGGGCCGCGAAGGGGACCGAGCCATAACCCCAACAGTTAACATTATACTACGGGCCTAATCTTTGGCGCTAGGGTTTCATTGCCTTGAATCTCATTTCTGTCACTGCCACTTGTCCACATCCTCCTTGTCAGACATGCAGAAGCCATGGAGGAAACCTGAGCCGGCGACACACACCGCTACCACCGCCGTGCCGCAGAGGAGTGTGCACGGACCTGTACGTGCATGTGGCCGGGGCAGGATCTAATATAAAGGCATTGGAAACACATGTGGGGCTCTGAGTGGTGTGTCAGCAGTCCGTCAGTCTCCAGGATGTCTGCAGCGAGAAGGCAGCAGCCGCTTTGTTGTTAGAAAATACACTGAGATTTGATTCTTTTTTTCACTTTTTTGTTATACATTTATCCCAGATTTGTTTATTTTCTAGAATAGTGGAATGCAAGGTGTTTAGATTTGTTTTATTAACCCTTTAGGCACCAAGTATCGCTGACTTTTACCCCCTGGATGACGCTATCGGGCCCCTGAGTGCAAGATATAAAGGTTGGGAACTACACTAAGACTCCCAGGGCCGTCATTTTGACTGCCTTTTCTGAAAAAATTCCCCCCAAAATGTTGAGTTTCACACCTGATTTTTGTGCTAAAACCAGGTGATTATAAAAACAAATACGGTTTGTCGAAAGCTAATGCTAAAGACGAAATGCTAACTCCTCAAGTGAAAAGTTTGTTGCTATGGTAACTAGCACCAGCTCCTCTCTGGTGGAAAACCAAAATGGACCAGAACCAGACCCTGTCCAGAGCCATAGACAGAAAGTTACTGAACAACCAAAAATGAATACATTTGTATTTGAGTTAGAGGCAGAACTCCTCACGTTTAACAAATCAAAGATAATTTCATATTTAGAGCCATTGGTTCGTAAGGGGCAGAGACCAATGTCTACACACTTCTGCAAAGAGACTAGAAGCTGATGGTCTGTATATAAAAGCCAAAAATATATAATTATTTACTAGACTGTTGAATATTCAGAGCAAAGCAATAACAAATACATGTGATAATAAACCAGCCGCCCTCTAAAGAAGATTTTTTTTATTTTTTTATTTAATGTAGTGCAGACACAAACAATACAGTAAACATATCGTAGATGTGTGATCGAAATACACAAAGTCAAATAAATGTGAAACCAGGGCTCAAATGCCATATACATTATGTGTGTGCGTGTGTGTGTGTGTTTGTGTACATGGGTGCGTGTGTGTGTTTGTGTACATGGGTGCGTGCGTGTGTTTGTGTACATGGGTGTGTGTGTTTGTGTACATGGGTGCGTGTGTGTGTTTGTGTACATGGGTGCGTGCGTGTGTGTGTGTACATGGGTGCGTGTGTGTGTTTGTGTACATGGGTGCGTGTGTACATGTGTGCGTGTTTGTGTACATGGGTGCGTGTGTGTGTTGTGTACATGGGTGCGTGCGTGTGTTTGTGTACATGGGTGTGTGTGTTTGTGTACATGGGTGCGTGTGTGTGTTTGTGTACATGGGTGCGTGCGTGTGTGTGTGTACATGGGTGCGTGTGTGTGTTTGTGTACATGGGTGCGTGTGTACATGTGTGCGTGTTTGTGTACATGGGTGCGTGTGTGTGTGTGTACATGGGTGCGTGTGTACATGGGTGTGTGTGTACATGGGTGCGTGTTTGTGTGTACATGGGTGCGTGTGTGTGTGTGTGTGTACATGGGTGCGTGCGTGTGTTTGTGTACATGGGTGTGTGTGTGTACATGTGTGCGTGTGTGTGTTTGTGTACATGTGTGCGTATGTGTGTGTGTGTGCGTGTGTGTGTTTGTGTACATGGGTGTGTGTTTGTGTACATGTGTGCGTGTGTGTGTTTGTGTACATGGGTGCGTGTTTGTGTGTACATGGGTGTGTGTGCGTGTTTGTGTACATGGGTGCGTGTGTGTGTTTGTGTGTACATGGGTGCGTGTGTGTGTTTGTGTACGTGTGTGTGTGTGTGTACATTTGTGCGTGTGTGTGTTTGTGTACGTGTGTGTGTACATTTGTGCGTGTGTGTGTTTGTGTACGTGTGTGTGTGTGTGTACATTTGTGCGTGTGTGTGTTTGTGTACATGTGTGTGTGTGCGTTTGTGTACATGTGTGTGCGTGTGTGCGTTTGTGTACATGGGTGTGTTTGTGTACATGTGTGTGTGTTTGTGTACATGTGTGTGTGTTTGTGTGTACATGTGTGTGTGTACATTTGTGTGTGTGCATGTGTGTGTTTGTGTACATGCGTGTGTGTGTATATGAAATACTAAGTGCGACGTGGGTATTCTTTATGTCGGAAACAATAGAATGTATTCTTGTATAGCCTTAAATCACAACAGTAGTCATCTCAGAGAAGAGAACAGAGGAGAAGGAAGCAGAAGAACAGAAACAAAAACATGTGAAATGCATTAAAAAAGTAGTAATGAAACTAATGGCTTACGAACAATAATAAGATTATGTATTTTAAAGAAATTGAATGACTGCTTTGAAATTGAGATGGTTCTATTGTGGTAAATCCAGGGAATGCTTATTCAGATTCAGTACGAAAGTCTAAAGAAGTTTGTAAACCTGCGGCGCTAACTCTGGCTGATATTCAAACCATGAAGGAGGAAATACACTCGCTTCCTCGCCAAACCATACGTTGTTTTCAGATTTTCAGAGAAGAGATGGAACAGCGTTTTTCAGAGGGCAAAGTCAAACCTCTGCTGAGCTTGGAGCTGAGCCTCAAAACTTTCTGAATGTCCGGAGGTTTCCACTCTACATTAGCGCGCCGTCCGTCACTCAACGTTGATAAAATGACCCAGCCTTGATACCTGCATCCTACTCAGCAGAGGTTACATTTATCCCTGGCTTGTGACTGACCATAAAACAAGATTTCTATTATCCCAGTGACGCATCTGTCTGCACCGAAATTATGAAACCTGTCTGCTCCCCACATTTTCATATTCTTCTCCTCCGCTCCAACACCAGCTCTGTTTCTTCTACCTCATAATAGCCACTCGAGCAAAAAGGAATCTGTCCAAACATGGAAATTACAGTTATTAAAACAGTGCTTGATTTGCACCATATTGAATTCTAATTTGTTAGTGTTAGAGCCGCGATGTCCGCCGAGATTCCGCTGAGTGAACATTGACGACACGGTTTCTGCAGAGCTAAGGGTCTGTCGGAGTCTGCTGTTGCACCTTGAAACTTTGCACCTCCTCAAAGTGCCAAATTTCCGCCGGGTTGGGAGCAGGCTGGCACCGAAAGAGCGCGGTGGGCTGTTTCTGCAGTGGATGCCTGGTGTGTTCAGCCGCAGAGGATTAGGTGGACGTTGGAGAGTCGGCCTCCTCTCTGGGTTAACCCACTGACGAACCGTCGAGGAGACGATGGAGCGGATCTCAGGGAAGTGTGGGTTTGTTTGTGGTGTCTCCAGCGGCGTTTGTGTCGCCGTGAGCGGAGAGAGCGTGTGAATGTGAAGGTTTGGTGAGGTTCAAGGCAGTATGGGGATTTAAACACTGGCGGTTAAAGTAGCAAAATGTCAGATTTCCATGTCCAACAGATTAGGGCCCTTTAATGAGTAAAGGGCCCTAATCTGTCAAAAATTATGAAAAAAACATGCCTTTTTCAAATACTTTGATAGTGATAACAGTAATTCAGAGATATTTGAATTTATAAATTAGTTTTACGGTCCATAAATCTTGTTATTGTTTTCATTTCGATGTCCCGCCCTCCACCGTTTCACCAATCAGAAAGTCTGTGATCCGGGCACCAGAAGTCACCGCGCTGAGCTAATCTCACTGGTAAAGTACCATGTGGCCAAAGTACAGTATGATCTCCTTTAACATTTCTTACCAGCCTTTTAGATAAATACTGGTAAGACTCTGAATTAGCAGAGTTTTTTTTTTTTTTACTTTTTATCAACAATGTAATTTAAGAGAAATAGGTTTGAGGGACTCAAGTCTTACCATGGCCTCACCGCAAAGTACTCTGAGGAGCACAGGGACTGGCCTCCTGCTGGTGCCCAGAGTCAGAACTGAACATGAGGAGGCTGTATTTCATTTTTATGCAGCTAAAATCTGAATGTCTTCCTGAATGTGAGACAGTTAATACACAAGGCAACTCAAAGGCAACAAAACAAGATAGAAACAATCAAATAAGGCACAATCATAAATACTCACAGTACATTATAAAGATCCCTCACTTATATGCACAGATGAACAGAACTGTTTTAACCTGGATTTAAACATTGTTAGAGAAGAAGTCTGTCTCACATTTACAGGAAGACAGTTCAACATTTCAGCCGCATGGATCTGAACTGCTGCCTCCTCATGTTTAGTCCTGACTCTGGGACCAGCAGGAGGCCAGTCCCTGTGCTCCTCAGAGCCCCAGCAGGAGGCCAGTCCCTGTGCTCCTCAGAGTCCCAGCAGGAGGCCAGTCCCTGTGCTCCTCAGAGTCCCAGCAGGAGACCAGAGTCTGAGTTGGTTGATATGGTTCAAAAGATGGTTCAAGTCTTAGAAGTATTTTAATCTTTTGATCTCGCAACAAACAAATTCATAATACATTTTTATCATTGACCAAATCTTTAAAATACTGTGATATTCTTTGTGGAGTAAGTCTTGGTAAAATGTTACTTCTGTTTTTCTGTGGGTCCGTTTCAAAACGTGCCTCTATTCTTCAAACTGTTGCCGACACGTCCAGGATCTGACAACAACATCCTTCACAAACTAATCCTGACGCCGCTTCTCTCTGGCGACTCCCAATCAACACGGCTTTTCTACCAGGAAGTGAGCGAGACTTTTTGAAGCCATCGTCCGGTTGACATTCTGTTTTGGCATTTTGTCACAACTTTCCTTTTGTGGCTGCTACCGCTAACACTAATAGGTGCTGAAAAGCCCAACTCGGGTAGCGCCGCTCTGCCCAGTGTTTTATGGCCACTGCACGCCAGGCATCCCAGATATTAGCATGTCGACCAGCCGGGGGCGCTCCCTGGGGGGAAACCCAAGACGCCCCGGCCTCCCCACGGACCTATTCCAAGCCTGGGTCCGCGTTTCAGCCAAAACTATTCTGTTATATGGAGGTCTCTGCGGTCTGTGCCCATGTGCGCTCGTGCTGAAAGATGTGAGCTCAATTCTAATGTCGTTTGTCAAAGCGTGTTGTTAAAAAGGCCGTGGACGTGATGGAAGTTTTCTCAGCTTGTGTTGAGTTTGTGTGTGGAAGTGGCCATGTTTATTTCAGCAGAGCAGGGATTGGCTGAGTGTGAGGGAGGCGGGATGGAGGCTCGGGTCCTGGTGTTCTAGGGCTTGGGTGCTCCGGGGTTAGGGTGCTCTGGGGTCCTGGTGTTGTAGATGGTAGCTTTTTACCATCTAAAAAACATTGCCAGGATCAAAAACATAGTGTCTAAAGCAGACCTGGAGATTCTTATCCATGCATTTGTCTCCAGTAGGTTAGACTACTGCAATGGCCTGCTCACAGGTCTGTCCAAACAGGCTGTAAAACAGCTGCAGTACATTCAAAATGCAGCAGCTCGAGTCCTGACTAGAACCAGGAAGTACGACCACATTAGTCCTGACTGGAACCAGGAAGTGTGATCACATTAGTCCTGACTAGAACCAGGAAGTACGACCATATTAGTCCTGACTAGAACCAGGAAGTACGACCATATTAGTCCTGACTAGAACCAGGAAGTACGACCACATTAGTCCTGACTAGAACCAGGAAGTACGACCACATTAGTCCTGACTAGAACCAGGAAGTACGACCACATTAGTCCTGACTAGAACCAGGAAGTACGACCACATTAGTCCAGGTATCAGGTCTCTGCACTGGCTTCCTGTGGCTCAGAGAATAGACTTTAAAACAGCTCTGCTTGTTACAAGTCTCTCCATGGCCTCGCACCAAAATATATTAGTGACATGTTAGTCCCTTATGAACCAGCCCGGACTCTGAGGAGCACAGGGACTGGACTCCTGCTGGGACTCTGAGGAGCACAGGGACTGGACTCCTGCTGGGACTCTGAGGAGCACAGGGACTGGACTCCTGCTGGGACTCTGAGGAGCACAGGGACTGGACTCCTGTTAGTGCCTGGCCCGGACTGGCCATCGGGAGCATCGGGAGATCTCCCGGTGGCCTGCATGTCAAAGTGGCCTGGGCCTGCCCTATCATCACGGTCTTTATTTTTTCTTTATTTATTTATTTTTTTTCTTTTAATTTAATTTCATCCTCACGGTCTTTGCAAACTCCTACCCTGCCTGGTGGCCTGGTCCAATGAGCAAGGCCCAGGCCAAATTCAGTGTTGCGCGTGAACGAGTTCAAAAGAACGCGTTCATTGAACACGCTCATTTTTTCGTGAACGTTGAACTGAACGCAACACATTTTTTAATAAAGAACTTGAACGTGAATTAGTTCATATTATGTGTCATGAACGGCAGACAATTTGTTTTCCATTTAAAACTGAGTGAAATCTGTTTTCTCTTTTGAAACGCAACAAGAGAAAGTTCCTCCCTCCTGTATTCTCCGCACTGTTTCCGCCGAAAACTAAAAATTCCTACGGTTTCCACCGTCTGTGAACGCACCCCGACTCAGTGTACTTCCGGTGCGGCGCTATATGCTAGTGCTATTCATTGGTTGTTGGACTCACATGTGCCGTGATGAAAACACAGGGGTAAGTCAGTGACACAGGGCCGTTTACATTTGACATAAAGTATAGACACACGTTCTGCAGCGCATTACAGTTTGTACTTATGAGCAGAGATGGGACAACTCAGTTCCCATTGAAACCCATGTAAATCTTGTCTGCATTGGAGTCAAAACATCCTGTGCAGTGTACAGGATATAATATATATATATATATATATATATATATATATATATATATATATATATATATATATATACCACGTATTGTGATTTCTAGCTCGTAGTGAAAAAAAATATTTATTTGAATATCTCGCAAAAAGTAAAATGAACTGAACTTTGAACTAGTTCAGAATTAAAATTGAGAACTTCGAACGTGAACTGTTCACTTTGAGCATGTATGAACTGAACTTGAACTAGTTCAGAAAAGCTGTGAACTGGCACAACACTGGCCAAAGCTTTACTGTCATTGGGCCAGAGCAAAATTAAACAAATGTGACGTCACACGTCGGCTACACAGCCAGGCCAGCGGCCAGGCCTAGCAGTGCACCCAGTGTAGCTTCCCCGGTTGAAATGAGTGGTCTCTCCAACTGATGGTTCATACACGTTTTTATACATAGTTCCCACAGACCAATGAATGTCACATGACCTCCTCGGAGACGCCATCTTTGATGGCACGCTGCTGTGTTTGTGCATTCCATTAAACAGAAGAATGAGAATAAATGTAGATATTCAAACGCAAATTGGAAAAAAAGGGCAACTTTTGAGCAAATAATTGTATATTAATACAATGGCACCACAGTTTAACGTGCTACGGACATGTTTTACATATTTGATCAAATTATGCAGCAAAAATTAACAAGCAATGCAAACATTTCTCAAAAACTTTAGATTTAATACCAGTTGGAGCTCCATTTAATTATTTTAATTATATTAACAATTAATTTAATTAATGCTAATGCCACACGGACACTCTGGATTGCTGTTATTGTTTATTTCCGCGTTTTTGACCGTATGTTTTGGTGAATGGTGGGCAACTGATTTTTCCAGGCGTAAAGAGCAGTTTATTTTATGACACAGATCTTTTTACAGAAGCAATGCTGTTTGTGAACATTGTTTTAGCCCACCATAGAACTATTATTATCTATTTAATACATTTACGTTGCCCTCGAGAGCCTCGGACGCGACACCGATCCTCCTCATAATAAAGTAATCTAACGCTAAATAATGAAACTCTCAAGTTACCAGCTATCAGCATACACAAGTTAGTACTGAGTAAATTACGTCTGTCAACACATTATGAGATACGATACGCACCTGACACAAAGTGCTCCGAGCATATTCTTGCGTGTTTTGAGGGAGTTTCTTGCCTGTTTATCTTCGCAAGCCATAACCTCCGTGGTTGTTCTGACAAAAGCTTAGTCTTCTCACATTCATGAAGTCTAATGATGGGTATACTGTAAAATCCAAGTTTAACGGAACCTCCGGCACGATTTGAACATCCATTGACCCAGCAGGAGATGACCATTTTCAACTTTATCACGACATTAACACGTTTCAGCTTCTTTTTCTATTGTTTTGCCCACAGCATGCCAAGACAAATGGCGCCGGGTCGGCAAATCCCCGTATGTAGTGACGTCATGTGGGAACTATGTATTTGTCCTTTTATATGAGCTGTAACGATGTGATTTTACCTTACTACTTTTTTAACAATAATTGATTAGCTTGTTATAGTTATACACTAATGAACACTTAGTTCATTGTGTGTGTGTGTGTGTGTGTGTCTTTATTCTCACTAAACTCCATAAACGTTACGTTGCTAAGCAACGTACAACAATCCTTAAACGTCCGAGATTATATAAACAGTCAATATAAAAAAAATAAAGAAAACAAAAGTTTTGACAGTCAATCTTAAAACTATTAAAATAGCATCAAAATACAATGACAAAAACACACATTTAGAACCTTGTTTGGCCTGAATGGATGAAAAGCTCCCGGCCTGAAATGTTGTCCCACTCCGGCCCTGCCAGAGTCAGAACTAAACATGGGGAGGCTGCTTTTCAGATTCATGCTGCTAAAATCTGGAACAGTCTTCCTGAAGATGTGAGACAGGCCTCCTCTCTGACAGTGTTTGAAACCAGGTTAAAGACAGTTCTGTTTAGCTGTGCTACAACTGAGGGATTTTATATTTTTATCTTTCTTTTTAATGTTCTGTGATTATTTATGATTTTAATGCTTTCTTATTTTGTTCAGCACTTTGAGTTGCCTTGTGTATGAATTGTGCTATACAAATAAACTTGCCTTGCCTTGCCTAGATTCCTGGTGCTCTGAGGTCCTGGTGTTGTAGATTCCTGGCACTCTGAGGTCCTGGTGCTCTGAGGTCCTGGTGTTGCAGATTCCTGGTACTGTGAGGTCCTGGTGTTGCAGATTCCTGGTACTCTGAGGTCCTGGTGTTGCAGATTCCTGGTACTGTGAGGTCCTGGTGTTGGAGATTCCTGGTACTGTGAGGTCCTGGTGTTCTGGGGCCTAATTCGTCGCAGAGTTCACATACGATTCTAGAGAGACATCCAACCAAAGACCTATTTAACAACATCAAGTACTGTTCGGTTTTGAAGTTGTGTGTCAGGCCTGTATTTTTGATAATAATGACAAAGCATTTTTGGACTCTCAAAGATGCTTTACATGTCATTATTCCGCCACTCCAAACACGGTGGTGATAAATTACTACTGTAGCCACAGCTGCCTTAGGACCCTCGGACAGAAGTGAGGCAACCTATCCGGCCGGTCCCACCACCACCAACCATTCACACACACACCAGACTCATTCTAATGTGGAGGAAGTGTCTTGCCTAAGGATACAACCACAGTTTGGCACTTTAAAGCCGCAGCCGCCCCACTGTGGGACCTGTTGTTCCCACAGGTCTCCCATCACAGTGCTAACCAGGTCCTGCCCTGCTTAGCTTCAGAAGTCTGGCAGTATCTTGTTTACCCATGCAGGTGAGAAGGAAAAGGGAGAAGTCAAGTATAGGTATATATTATATTTGGATAATAGAAATGGCTCAAAGGACACTACACACGAGCCACAACATTTAAGAGAAAGAGCATCACACTGATACACACGCACACACTGATACACACACATGCAGACACACACACACACACAACTCTTTATCAAATGTAGATTCCTTTTTATGATGGAAATTCAGAAGGAGTGGTTGATTTCATGATTAGACGTAAACTCGACTCTGTCTGATGGGTTTGAGGCCTTCAGCAGCACATACATGATACTGTTCAATTCAGACCACTGTTTACCTACACACTGTGCTGCCTGGAAGTTTACACCCCCTGGCAGTTCAGGTTTTTGTCTCGGGGCACAAAAATCTGTTTTTCACGACCTTTTCTTCCATAAACATTACCGAAAAATATGAGAATCAGAATCAATGTATTGCCATTTGCAGAAAAAAACTACATTGGAATACAAACAGGAGACACCGGAAGCATAAACACTACAAAGCACACACACAGACAAAAAGAATTAAAATAGCGAGACGCAGTAAGGCAAATATACAATTCTTAAAAGCATAATGAAGAGCTACAAAGAAGCAGATCTCAATTCACATGGCAGGAGGTCCTGCCGGAATCTTCTCCCCGAGGGAAGAGGCTGGAACAAGGCCGCTCCAGGATGGCCAGAGGAGTCATTTACAATCCACAGGGCACGGTTCAAGAGTCTACTCTCATAAACAGCCTCCAGAACAGTTCACAGTCCTCCGAGCAGAATGAACCACTTTGTTCAGAGCTCTCTTTTTTAGGTAATAAATGCTAGAATCTAGTGGTTTTTATCTTAAGCTGAGTACTTTCTGACTGGCTTAGATTCTCCAATGGGACAAAGCCATTCTTTTCTCATTCAAAGCGAGACATCTCTTGTATATTTTTAAAACCATTAAAACCCAATAATTCTGCTTCCAATCCCGTTTAAAGGCAGACTGTGGTCAAATTCAGACACTTTTTGCCAAATTTAAGTCATATTTGACCTATTTTTCATCACTTTCTGCAGTGTGAGAAAGACTTGCATGATTTACTACTTACTGATAAATGTCTCAGCTCCAGAGGAAGGTCAACGGCAACACAACTCCCAATGTATGACCCAACAAACGACTCGCGTCATTGTACTTTATATTTTCGCCGAAATAATTGCGGCAATCAGATTTGAACTGCTAATGACTGGGTTATTTCTCAGCTGATTTTGATAAAACAAGATTCTGCGATATTCCGTGGTCAAAACTTACCGTTTCACAAACAAGTTCTGGGTCCAAAGTAAAGACTCGTATCTCCATCACAGCATTAGGCCCAATTATAATCACTTAGCCGTGTTTTTGCGCTTGTATCGTGGTCATGTCTGGATGCATGTGGCGCTTACATACCGTCCACCGTGGCACTTGGACCGGGGTGAACCTGGAGGTCATAAAGCAGCCGCTCAGAGGAAGTTCCTGGTACCTGCAGCTCGAATATGTCTGCCAGAGGAGCCGACCGGGGCCTTGGCACAGTAAAAGATGTCAGCAGCCTCCTCTTTACAGGCTCGCAGAAGCACTGACGACAGCGGGGTTGATGTTGGCGTGTGGCGTTCATGAGGGTTTGAGAGTCCCACATCCAATAATCCAACATGCAGGTCAATAACTCAGCCTCATTTTAATATGTTTTTGCGTGATCAAGCGTGAGTTATTATGCATTATGAGGGAAGGGGGAGTATTTGTAATGTAAGCTGAGCATTCTGGGAGTAGAATGCCCTCTGTGTCTTGTGCCTGAGGGCGTCTCTCTGATCCACAGGGCAGACGGCTCCTCGGATGGCCCCAGTCCATGCGATTGTTGTTTGGGTGGAGCTGGATTGGTGGATGGACATGTGGGACTGACATGACATGTGGGATCCGGCGTTTCTAAATAATATGTCTTGACCCTTTACTAATATTGAGGCAAACAGAAAGCAAAACCGGGGTAGGTGAAATATTCTTTCTTTGGCAGAGCCTTCTCGATCATGGTTCGTAAAAATAAAAATGTTTAGTCAAAATGTTGCTTTTCAAAACAGTTATTTATATTTTTCTCTGCAGTGCATTATGGGTATCGTCACCGCTTTGTTTTGTGTCTGTGTTTCGAAGCGTTTTCTTGTCTCAATGAGTTTCCCGCCTTCTCATTGGTTCAGAGCGTTTTCAGCGTTGGTGCAGTTGGCTCTCTTTTCATGGTTATGTGAGAAGATTAAATGGTGTGGATTTGAAGTCACATTTCTGCTGTTTTCCGGGTCCTCCCACGTTAAAAAATGAAGCACAGGGACTGACACCAGTGAGCTGAAATGTACTGTGTTCAATTCCTGTATAAAAATGTGATTTGATTCATCCACTGATTTCATTTCAGGAATGAGAGCGCTGAAATGTTGGGCTCTTATCACGCGTTTTTTTTTGTTGCCGATGGTAGTTTAAAAAGCAAACATCTGATACAACGGCTGATACCAGTGCTCAGCCGATGTATCAGTGCATCCCTGTGAAATACCCAAAAAGTAGAGACACAGAAAGTATTTTAAGATTAATATGAAGAGATCCTTTGTTTGCCGGACAGCGAGGACATCTGCAGTTACAGAACAGTACAAGCAGCACACAACAAGAGATTTATTTTGTTTACAGGCACTTACAAATTACTCTAATGACTTGTTTGTAGATTGAGCCAAAGCAGATTTATAGTTTGTGACTTCTTGTACTTTACAGAGTCAATAAATAAAAAATCTGATTCTGAAAAACAGTTTTGTTTAGCTGCACCAACTGAAGAATTATAATTTCACTAATATAATGTGTTTAATTTACTGTGATCATTGTGATATTTTAATGCCTTGTCTGATTGTTTCTGTCTTGTTTTGTTCCGCACTTTGAGTTGCCTTGTGTATCAACTGTGCCATACAAAAACAAATGCCTTTCCTTCATCGACACCTCTCCTTTTTAAGGTATAATGCAAAAACCTCTCGCCGATGTCATTTTCACACTTTCCTTCTGCGGAGCTTTTCTCAATATGTTGAATATTGCTGAGACTCCGTCCGTCCGATACTACTCCCCCGACGCCGTTAACACCTTCGCTCTCAGCTGCCACTCTATCCCCAAAACGCTTTACAAGTTCTCTCCGCTTCATTCTAACGCTCCGTCGCCCAAACCCTATCCATCAATACCTTAAGACCATAGTCCCATCTGGTTCTTTTCATCTCTACATTTTTACAGCCTTTGTTTAACTTTATGGCACAAGTAGAAAGATAATATTTGAGATTTATGCTGGCTGGGGTGATAAAACCTCCGTGTGAGTCGACTTTTTAAAACATAAAGCCACTTAGACTAATTGAAGGCAACTATGGGGCCTGCATCGGGGGCATATCCGATGCTAACATTATTGTAGGTGAGATTTTCCATGTACAGACGGTAATAAGAGCGCGGCTTTTCGCAGATTGTTCTTGGACGGGCCCCATACACACACACACATATACAGCAGTAGAAAACCAATCTAAGGTACAGCGATTTAGGGGAACAGGGCAATTTTATACCATAGTAGCAGCATTTACACACTTGTGATAGACAAGCCCTTCGCTGTAGCCAAAGCGGAGGACTTACGAGCAGGGAAAATGAAATAAAATCAATACTCCGACATAACTTTTTAAATAAACATTTGCGCTCTCCGGACATTGTTGGCAGCGGCGCGTGGTAACCTGTCCCCGACGGTGGAACTCAAGACGGGAGCGTGGCAGGACTGATGGCTTCTGGCAAGATGCGGCGAGGAAAACAGCTTATAGGGTTCTGTTTGTGTTAGGGCAGAGCCAGGGGGAGAGACAGAGGGAGAGACAGAGGGAGAGAGGGAGGGGGAGAGGGGGAGAGACAGAGGGAGAGACAGAGGGAGAGAGGGAGGGGGAGAGGGAGAGACAGAAGGAGAGACAGAGGGAGAGAGGGAGGGGGAGAGACAGAGGGAGAGACAGAGGGAGAGACAGAGGGAGAGGGGGAGAGACAGAGGGAGAGAGGGAGAAAGAGAGGGAGAGAGGGGGAGAGCCAGAGCGAGAGACAGAGGGAGAGAGAGGGGGAGAGACAGAGGGAGAGACAGAGGGAGAGAGGGAGGGGGAGAGAGAGGGGGGAGAGAGAGGGGGGGGGGGGGGAGAGAGGGGAGAGACAGAGGGAGAGGGAGGGAGACAGAGGGAGAGACAGAGAGAGAGAAAGAGAGAGAGACAGAGGGAGAGAGAGGGAGAGGGAGAGAGGGAGAGAGAGGGAGGGAGGGAGATGGAGCGAGAGACAGTGGGAGAGAGAGAGGGAGATAGAGGGAAAGACAGAGGGAGAGAGGGGGAGAGACAGAGGGAGAGAGGGAGAGGGAGGGAGACAGAGGGAGGGAGACAGAGGGAGAGACAGAGAGAGAGACAGAGGGAGAAAGAGGGAGAGAGGGGGAGAGAGGGAGAAAGAGAGAGGGTGAGACAGAGGGAGAGAGGGAGGGAGAGAGAGACAGAGGGAGAAAGAGGGAGATACAGAGGGAGAGAGAGGGAGAAAGAGAGAGAGAGAGGGAGGGAGGGAGATAGAGCGAGAGACAGAGGGAGAGAGAGAGGGAGATAGAGGGAGAGACAGAGGGAGAGAGGGAGGGAGATAGAGGGAGAGACAGAGGGAGAGAGAGGGAGAGAGAGAGAGGGAGGGAGACAGAGGCGGAGAGAGAGGGAGAGAGACAGAGAGAGAGAGGGAGAAAGAGAGCGAGACAGAGGGAGACAGAGGGAGAGACAGAGGGAGAGACAGAGCGAGAGAGAGAGAGACTGAGGGAGAGAGGGGGAGAGAGAGAAAGAGAGCGAGACAGAGGGAGAGAGGGAGGGAGAGAGAAACTGAGGGAGAGAGAGAGAGGGAGATACAGAGAGAGACAGAGAGAGGAAGAGACACAGAGGAAGAAAGAGACATCGTCAGTCCTGGGTCTACAGCCTCAGTCCTGGGTCTGATACAGGTTCTAAGGACAGAGGTGATGATCCGGGACACTCCACATTCAACAACATTTAAACATTAAAACAGGAAGAGGGTGAAGAAGGTAAACACATCCCATTGGTTTGTTTGTGTAAGCTCTCAGTCGTACAGGGATTAGTCAAAGCAAAGGAAGGTTTCTCACCCATCATCTGTATTTCTTAGCAAGTTTTCTTGACGTTTCGTCCTCAATCCAAAGGACTTCTAGCGGGGAATCCATTCTCAGACCGCGCGTTGGAGATTTATAACCTAATCCTGATACTAACTCATAAACAATCTAAGGCCTGTTTGAGGATTTGTCTGTCTGATTTGGTTCAGCCCTCTCTCATTAAAGCCATTTTAACGCTATTTCGTGAACACATTATGATAAATCAGCCTTTAATCTGTATTTACTAAGCATGTTTTTTTTTATCCTTACTCTACATGGCCTCATTCAACATTTGCTAACTGACATTTTCATTTGTGGGTTAGGGTACACACTAATTAGCTCTTAGTTAGCTGTTAATTAGTGAGGGCTTAACTAAAGTGAGACCTAAGATTTGTATAAAAATCCACTCATATGTGATTAACCGTCATTAACTTTTAGAACAATTGTGTTTGGACTGTGTGTGTTTTACTTGTTTTCACGATTGGAAAATAAATTATGGAGCAGATATTCAATCATGGATACACAGTCAAAAGTCCATCCACCCATTTTCTTCCGCTTCATCCGTCGCCGGGTCGTGGGGGCAGCAGTCTAAGCAGTCAAAAGTTCAAGTCATAATTCCAGAGCTTCATGAATTATAACTATTGTATTGTATCTAGAACCACACTATCATGGTAGATCTGATGCAAAGGGAGTTTTTTAAGCAGAATGAGGCTGAAGTCAAATGAACTGACTGCACATGGTTTGATGCAAGATAAATGTTTTCTCTGAATGATACGTTTAATAAATTCGATTGGATGCGAGTGACGTTCTCACTGTAATCCCATTGCCTTGAAACAAAGTCAGGCTGTTCAAACAACCAGAAGCACATGTCTCTTTGGCCCATGCAAAGTGTGTTCTTAGTCAATCTAATATAAACTCTGAGATTTAAGCCCTGACAGGACAAACTTTACTGATATTAAAACTGCGGGAAAAAACAACTTTGCTCGTCTCATTCACAGAAACCAGATCAGATTTAATTCTGTAACTTGCCCAGTTTATCATTTTCATGCACAAGAATCAGATAAGTGTAAAATCCAAAGGAGAAAATTCAATATTTGGTCCGTTTCCCTGGTTGATGAGAGAAACGGTCGTGAATACTCCCATTCATTCACCTGTGGGCAGATTCGGAGCCGAGCGCAGCCAATGGCCCCGAGAGCGTGGTGCCGGAGACGCCGCATAAAAGACCTCCTTTCACTCCCACTTACACAATATTCAGGAGCAACTTCCACAGAAAAAACACGCCAGGTTTGAAGAGAAAACAATCGACAAATTCCTGCTAATTTGCCAAGAGCTGAGAGGAGCAGAGGAGATGGAGGCCTGCCCGGCGTCTGCCACCGTACACATGGCTCTTTGGGGAGTCCTTCTGCACCAGGCCTGGGCAAAGTGCGGCCTGAGAGCCACACACGGCCCGGTTCGCGTTTCCATGTGGCCCTCGGATGACTGTACACTCTCTCTTCTCAGAAAAAAACGCACTAGGTTTGAATCCCGGTCAGGACAGGGCCTTTCTGAGTGAAGTTTGTATGTTTTCCTCAAGTCTGCGTAGGTTTCCTCTGGGTGCTCCGGTTTTCCCCACTAAAAGCATATACAATAGGTCTGCATGTAATGAGCGAGTGAATGGGTGGTAATGATTGGGGGCTTTGATGGACCGGTGTTTGGCGTCTCGCTTCTGTCATCACTGCGTTGAGAGAATGGAACGATATCTAGACTTTGTAAAGCGCTTTGGGTGAACTCGGTCAGTAAAAATATGCTACATAAATAAATATTTCGTACCCACTTTTCCCACACGCCAGCTGTTCACCGTCACCCCCTATTTACATGACTGCAATTCAGTAGCCATAAGCATTGCAACCACGCTAACATGTTATACTGTACTTGAGAAAAATTCATCTTTCCACAATACTTGAAACCAAAAGACAACTAAAAATTTAATCTAAAATGCGTAATAGAAAAATAATCTCCTCGCATATTCACAACTATATACTTTTACTCTAGAATATACAGTATTTTTACTTCAAACCCATCACTGAACCCTGCCCTTTGTGACCGTCACTTTACTGTCATCACACTGCACTGTCCAATGTCTGCTGTGTGCCTCCAGGCCACTTGTTTATAGTAAGAGTTTAAAGAAATGTTCTGTAGATTTTGATTTTATGCATGCCTTTTTCTGTTGTTGTTTGTTTGCACCGAGAGCCAAAGCAGTTTCCCAGTTTGTGACTTCTTTTACTCAAATGGCAATACAAATGATTCAGATTGTATTCTTCCTCTTTATGCTAAAGTTGGAGAGTTTATACTTCTTTTTGAGGCTAGAGTTAGAGATTGTATTTCCTTTTTTTTAGACTGGATAGAACCAGCGCAGGTGCTGAAGCAGGTACTAAAAAAGGGCCTTCTACTGGTAAAACAGGGTTGGTGGAAACACTCCCAATCAGGGAAGAGTAGAGTTGACTACAATAATAATAATGAATGCATGATTTTATTTTACAGCGCTCAACTCTCAGAGACGCTTCAAATGTCGTTATTCATTCACTCCAAACACAGTAGTAATAAACTACTAGTGTAGCCACAGCTGCCCTGGGGCACACTGACAGAGGCAAGGCAACCAGTCTGTGCCCCTCCCACCACCACCAACCATTCTAATGTGGGGGAAGTGTCTTGCCTACGGACACAAGCGCAGTTTAGCACTTTACAGCCGCCCCTCTGTGGCACATGGAGTTCCCACAGGTCTCCCATCCCAGCGCTAACCAAGTCCTTCCCTGCTTAGCTTCAGAGGCCTGCAGGTATAGCCACAAGCACAGCAGGGAATGAAGCTTTAGATTAGATGTGCTGCATTCAACCAAAGTTATTAATCAGTTAATTATGGATAAACGAATACAGTGAATCTTCTTGAAGTGATAGTAATATAGTAAATGCTAACCTGGTAACCATGGCGACTCCCGTTGGCCCTGTCAATGGTGCAGTGTGAGTGTCGTGGCAGCACCGGTCCATTTCTAAACATGTCACTTTTGATTAATCCTGTAACGTATGTACAATGTCCGCCGTTGTCCACGTCCCGCCGCTCCGGCCAATCCAGAATTATACATTTCCTGAAATTAATAGTTCTCTGGTTTGAATATTCCAGTCGTTCTGAAGTCCCCTGTACATTCTCCGTCCAGGTCACCTCAATGCAAAAAAAGTTACAAAATATGAGGTTATAAAAGCTTGAATCAAGTCCTTCTCCTCTCCTTTGTTTAGGTTTATTGTACTTAAATTAAACACGATTTGATTGAACAAGTCATTTAGTCTCATTTCAACACTGCAAAAAATGACAAAATATCAGGAAATAAACGCCTGAATTGAGTTTTTATCTAAATTTGAGATCATTCTGACTGTGTTAAAACAAGATTGGCCAATGGGAAAACGCCATTTAGTCTTATTTATAACTATTTTTCTCATTCCAAAGTAACATTTCCTGTATCTTTTTAAAACAATATCATTTTGCTTTGTCCTGTGGGCAAATCTTGTTTTAAGGCTCAGTTAGAGAGGAATAAGATTAAAAGTATACAGAACCTTCCTCTCCACATTTTGAACAAAATTCTCTGGTCTTATTTGTCGAGCACGTATCAGCAGAATGATTGACAGTTAGAGGGACCAATAGTCTTGATGACCACCCGGAAGTAGAAAGTCCCCCTATACACCTTTAAGATATATTTTTTGCTTTTTGAATGGAGACATTTCTTGAATTGTCTTGAATCTTTTAAAAAACAAGGTAATTTTCCTTAATCCAAAGGCAAATTTAGTTTTTAGACACTCAAAATGTGCTGAAATTAAGATAAAAAAGTATTATTTCATATTTGATCATTTTTTGCAGTGCTCACGTTTACATTCTGACACTTCCGAGCAGCACGTAGCTCCTGTGACACTTAAGAGCAGCACGTAGCTCCTGTGACACTTCAGAGCAGCACGTAGCTCCTGTGACACTTCAGAGCAGCACATAGCTCCTGTGACACTTCAGAGCAGCAAGTAGCTCCTGTGACACTTCAGAACAGCACGTAGCTCCTGTGACACTTCAGAGCAGCACGGCAAGTGCTCCTGTGACACTTCAGAGCGGCAAGTAGCTCCTGTGACACTTCAGAGCAGCACATAGCTCCTGTGACACTTCAGAGCAGCACGGCAAGTAGCTCCTGTGACACTTCAGAGCAGCACGTAGCTCCTGTGACACTTCAGAGCAGCACGGCAAGTAGCTCCTTTTACACTTCCGAGCAGCACGTAGCTCCTGTGACACTTCAGAGCAGCACGAAGCTCCTGTGACACTTCAGAGCAGCACGTAGCTCCTGTGACACTTCAGAGCAGCACGAAGCTCCTGTGACACTTCAGAGCAGCACGTAGCTCCTGGGAAACTTCAGAGCAGCACGTAGCTCCTGTGACACTTCAGAGCAGCACGTAGCTCCTGGGAAACTTCAGAGCAGCACGTAGCTCCTGTGAAACTTCAGAGCAGCAGGTAGCTCCTGGAACACTTCAGAGCAGCACGTAGCTCCTTTTACACTTCCGAGCAGCACGTAGCTCCTGCGACACTTCAGAGCAGCACGTAGCTCCTGTGACACTTCAGAGCAGCACGTAGCTCCTGCGACACTTCAGAGCAGCACGTAGCTCCTGGGAAACTTCAGAGCAGCACATAGCTCCTGTACACTTTCCCACCGGAGAATCCATATTTTGGTTGCGCCTGTTGAAGTGTCAGAGCGAAAGGCAATCCTCCCTGAGCCTTCTTCCTGCTGCATTAATCAGACGTGTTATTGCGACGGTTGACTTTCCCTGTTTATGTTTCTGCTGCAGGAGCCGCTGCAGTGAGAGGGTGAGGCCGCAGTGAGAGGGTGAGGCCGCAGTTAGAGGCTGCAGTGAGAGGCTGCAGTGAGAGGGTGAGGCCGCAGTGAGAGGGTGAGGCTGCAGTGAGAGGGTGAGGCTGCAGTGAGAGGGTGAGGCCGCAGTGAGAGGGTGAGGCCGCAGTGAGAGGGTGAGGCCGCAGTGAGAGGGTGCAGTGAGAGGCTGCAGTGAAAGGGTGAGGCCGCAGTGAGAGGGTGAGGCCGCAGTGAGAGGGTGCAGTGAGAGGCTGCAGTGAAAGGGTGAGGCCGCAGTGAGAGGGTGCAGTGAGAGGGTGAGGCTGCAGTGAGAGGATGAGGCTGCAGTGAGAGGGTGAGGCCGCAGTGAGAGGGTGCAGTGAGAGGCTGCAGTGAAAGGGTGAGGCCGCAGTGAGAGGGTGCAGTGAGAGGGTGAGGCTGCAGTGAGAGGGTGAGGCCGCAGTGAGAGGGTGAGGCCGCAGTGAGAGGGTGAGGCCGCAGTGAGAGGGTGCAGTGAGAGGCTGCAGTGAAAGGGTGAGGCCGCAGTGAGAGGGTGCAGTGAGAGGGTGAGGCTGCAGTGAGAGGATGAGGCTGCAGTGAGAGGGTGAGGCCGCAGTGAGAGGGTGCAGTGAGAGGCTGCAGTGAAAGGGTGAGGCCGCAGTGAGAGGGTGCAGTGAGAGGGTGAGGCTGCAGTGAGAGGATGAGGCTGCAGTGAGAGGGTGAGGCCGCAGTGAGAGGGTGCAGTGAGAGGCTGCAGTGAGAGGGTGAGGCTGCAGTGAGAGCGTGAGGCTGCAGTGAGAGGCTGCAGTGAGAGGCCACAGTGAGAGGGTGCAGTGAGAGGGTGAGGCCGCAGTGAGAGGGTGAGGTTGCAGTGAGAGGGTGAGGCTGCAGTGAGAGGGTGAGGCTGCAGTGAGAGGGTGAGGCCGCAGTGAGAGGGTGAGGTTGCAGTGAGAGGGTGAGGCTGCAGTGAGAGGGTGAGGCTGCAGTGAGAGGGTGAGGCTGCAGTGAGAGGATGAGGCTGCAGTGAGAGGGTGAGGCTGCAGTGAGAGGGTGCAGTGAGAGGGTGAGGCTGCAGTGAGAGGGTGAGGCCGCAGTGAGAGGGTGAGGCTGCAGTGAGAGGGTGCAGTGAGAGGGTGAGGCTGCAGTGAGAGGGTGAGACTGCAGTGAGAGGCTGCAGTGAGAGGGTGAGACTGCAGTGGAGAAATGTCAGTGTCATCGTTGCATATTACAGCAGAGAGAGGACATAAGACACAGACGCACACATCAAATAACTTTACTTCTTCTTTTCTTTTGTGAATATATTTCTTCATCATTTACACATCTTTTTGTTACATTTTTAACAGAAATATTTTATACCAAAATACGTGGTTCCAATTTAACGCTAGGACTGAAACTCAAAGAACTTCCAGAGCCGTTTTTGTTTTTCTCTAGTTTAATCAAAGTGAAGCACTTTATAAGGTTTTTACATTTAAAAGCACGCCAGATAAAACTGGTGAATTTAAGTTGAAATACGGCAAAACAGTTTTTGGAAAAGCTAGAAAAGGCTAAATACTTGCAAATGAGGAGGATGTAACCTTGGTCGGTCTCTCTCTCTCTCTCTCTCTCTCTCTCTCTCTCTCTCTCTCTCTCTCTCTCTCTCTCTCTCTTCTCTCGTCCCTGACACTCGCGGCGGACATGTTTGTTTGTGAGGGTCCAGGTGAGTGGCAATGGGTCACAGAGACAGGACTAACCCAGACTGTGTCTGGGTGTCTGGACCAAGCGTGACTTTGGCTCCAGTGTCGCCTCACAACCTTAAACTGTGTCATGGAATAAAGAAAAGAGATTCTTTATTTTATCCTGAAAGAGAAAGTTCCAGTGTTGCATCAGCAGTTACAGAACAGACGGAATGAGGAGCACACAACACAAGACTAATGAACTATAACTCTATATTATGATAAAATAAATCTCTAGCTTTAGCATGATAAAGAAGCTAGTATAAAACATTGTATATTGCAAGAATTGGACTTATAATTAGATGAGAAGCTGAGGATTCCACACAGTATGAACCTGTCACGTACAAATCCCACTTATTTAAGCATGTATAGTTTTGCTTTCATTTCAGTTCCTTTCTTTTGCAGTAAAATATCTACAATAAAATTTGTATGTTTGTGGTTGTAACATAGATAGATAGATACTTTATTGATCCCCGTGGGAGAAATTCTGGTGTCCAGTAGCTCATTCTAAAAAGCTAACAATAGTAACAATAAGTAAGTAACATAGGTGCATAGACAAAATGTGCATAAGTTTGAGCTTTATGAATACTTTTGCAAGGCACTGTGTAGTATAGATAATCCGGAACAGTCTTCCTGAAAACGTGAGACAGGCTTCTTCTCTGACAATGTTCAAATCCAAGTTAAAACAGCTCTGTTCAGCTGCATATATCTGATGGATTTACTCTTCACACTTTTTTAATGTTTGTGATCACTATGGTTTTAAATCTTGTTTTGTGTTTGAACTGTGCCATACATATAAACTATACATATAAACTAACCCTAGCTGGTGTGTCTGAGTCTCTGCTCCTCCAGTGGCTCCGACAGGCCCCTGCACACATCCTCTCACTTTGGGGCCAGCAGTAAAACTAATGACAAAATTGGACCAGTCTGCCTTTTCAATGGCCACTTTTATTCCCCAAATGTAACGACGGTGAGTGTAATCTGTCCTCTGGGACGCGGCGCGCTCCCATAAAGCCACATCAGGCAGAATAATGAGCCGGTTCAGAGCAGCGCCCGCCCAAGCCCCGCCCCCTTTCTCTCTCCTCGGGACGTCCCACAACACGGGGGTCGCAGTCACAATCGTCTTTGTCCGAGTCACGCTCAGACACACGGCGGTCGGACACAGGGGTCTCGGGGTCACCTCCTCCAGGGGCCGCAGGAGGTGCAGTCTGGGGGAAGCTGAGGGTTATGTTTATCACGTGTTTTTTTGTTTTGGTTATTAAGATTAGCCCGTTAGCCGCTGAGGTGCAGAGGCTTTTCTCCCCGGGGTCTCCTCAATATCATGACATACTTTTATACATTGAATTTGATTTCATTTATTCTTGTGTCGCCCTAATTCACAGCAGTAGTGACGATTACAACACGGAGCCATTGGTCCATGAGGAGCAGATGTGTTTAATGTGGTGTTGTGGATTATTAATCAATCAATCAATCTTTATTCATAGAGCACTTTTCCTACACAGGGAAACACCTGTGTGAGATTAATAAAGTACATCTTATCTCAAAGCGCCTCACAGTCCACACCACAGGCACAAATCATCACAAAAACAAAGGCAAAATCACTGTTAGAAATACAAATAAAATCACACAGGTAATTAAAACAAGGTGGATCGTCACCATTGTCCTTTTGACGACATGACATCTCAATGGGAAATCTATTACAAACTCCACATTTTTCGCAGCATTAAGCGCGGACAAAAGTCTTTCATTTGAACACTTCGCCCTATGTATGATATTTCTGACTGTAAATAGCTCAGTCTGTAAACAGTCCGACCCGGCACCGCAGCCAGATGCTTTCACCGTGAACACATGCACCTGATCGCACCAAACAACTCAGTACAAAGTGTCGGGTATTCCAGTCTTTGTTTGTGCCATAAACCATAAATACATTCATGTTTTTTTTTTTTTTAATATTATAGGCTACAATAAACAAACACACTTTCTAATATAAATGTTCATTGGAGCTGGTTTTACTTTGACTCACTGCTTGTTGCATTCTGAGTTCATTGTTTAAGGTCAAATAAACGCTGTGGTAGTTTTCTTGATCAATTTAAACCGTGTATAACATTTGCCTCCTGTTTTGTTAAACAGTGTTGTGTTAATGTATGTTTGTAAAAAAAAAAAGAGTTATGAGAGGGGGCGGGAGGACATGGGTTTACTTCTTCTCACCCACTTTCCAAACCGTGTATAACATTTGTGGCATGTGTTGTGTATTATTGATCACATGGATTTCTGTTTCTTGTAGATACATGTTTAAAAGACACTGTAAATGTGTAAACTCAAATCAATCTGAATGTAAATGTCAGACTCTCAGTGAGGGCCACACTGACGTTACAGCTCGGTGTCCACTAGGGGGCCATCTTATCACTGTTCTCGGACCGCAAATGTCCCGGGGGCCGCGTGTTTGAGACCCCTGATCTGGAGCATGTGACGAGGAGCATGTTTGACACTCTGGTCCAGTCTGGTCCGGCTCCTGCTGAGATGATGTAACAGTGGCCCGGTTCTGCGACGCCTCCTGCTGCGACCTGTAAACGTCTGCCTCCCACTGCTCCTCCTGCTAACTGCGCCCACTGCTCCTCCTGCTAACTGCCTCCACTGCTCCTCCTTCTAACTGCCCCCACTGCTCCTCCTGCTAACTGCCCCCACTGCTCCTCCTGCTAACTGCCCCCACTGCTCCTCCTGCTAACTGCGCTCCCACTGCTCCTCCTGCTAACTGCCCCCACTGCTCCTCCTGCTAACTGCCCCCTCTGATCCTCCTGCTGACTGCCCCCACTGCTCCTCCTGCTAACCAGTTACAGACCAGTAGAAACAGAAAGTAATTTTTTTTCATAGTAAAGTGCATTTTGTTTAGGTTTACTGCTGCAGCTTGAGTCCAGACTAGAACCAGGAAGTACAACCGCATCAGTCCAGTTCTCAGGTCTCTGCACCTGAGGCTCAGAGAATAGACTTGTTTTGAGTTTCTCCATGGCCTCGCACCAAAGTACATCTGTGACATGTTAGTGCCAGATGAACCAACTCTGAGGAGCACAGGGACTGGTCTCCTGCTGGGACTCTGAGGAGCACAGGGACTGGTTTTTCTGTATTCAACTGTATCTTTACTCTTTTTAATGTCCTGTGATTTTTTATGATTGTATTATTTTAATGCCTTGTGTGATTGTGTCTATGTTGCTTTTTGTCGTTAAGCCCTTTGTAATGCCTTGTGTATGGAGTGTGCTATAACATTAAACTTTTGAGTTGACCATAGACCGTGAATATGAGGATGGTAGACTGACATAATAAAAACGTGTTCATGTATCTGCACAGGGGACGCACTGTGGGGACCAGGCTCCATGGAAGTGCTAAACACACCCTCAGGTCCCCCAGCTACACATGTCTGCTCCTGCTGCTGCTGATTGGACGAAATTTTTTTTTGACTCAATCTCACTCATTCAAAGCAATTCAATGTATTCCTGTACAACCCTAAAACACAAGAATCATTTTCTCAGAGGACTTTACAAAGCTGACAATTCACAAACACAGATCAGAGAATCAAACACATCACATCATTGGTCCATAAGCGGCAGATGTCCAATGTCCACAGATGTCTAAATACTATTATTATTATTATACAACTATCAATACAAGCTGTATATTGTATAAGAGACAGTTTTGCTCTGACTTGCTCCTGTCCGTCTCAGCCGACAGAAAAAGGTGCTTTTCACTTCCAATGGTCATAACGTTGGTTCTGATTCATACATGGCCTTAAGTGACTGCTGGACCCTCGCTCCTTGTCCAAAACCAGCTTTTATTCCGTGTATATTTAGTAGCGTATTTCAGCACTAATAGGTTTTCTCCCCTGCAGGTTTGGCTGTACTTAAGGCCAGTTCTCCAGTCCATCTATCTTCACCTCCCTCTGAGTCCCTAAAATGTACTGTTTGTTCATGTGCATCTCCACGGCGGCTAATCCTATACACAAATACTTCCATTACAACAAACAGTGTGTTTTCGGGGTCGTAATGAGCCACCTCTGCTACACAAACAGTATTCAGTAATGAGCCAAGACAGTCAACAGTCCAATGTATGTGGGCCGCGGTTTTTACCATCAGAGACCATTTGAATCATTTGTTATTATGGATTATTTGGAAAACACTAACCCCCGTGTGGAGAGCGTGCACGTGAGGCTTTTATTGATTCATGTCCGTGTTCAAATGTACCTGTTTTTAGTTTTTACGTTATGTTTAAATGCACTAGAAACGTCCAGAGAGAGGGACCTGAGAGAGACCAGAGAGAGAGACCTGAGAGAGACCAGAGAGAGGGACCTGAGAGAGACCAGAGAGAGACCAGAGAGAGGGACCTGAGAGAGACCAGAGAGAGAGACCTGAGAGAGACCAGAGAGAGAGACCAGAGAGGGACCAGAGAGAGACCAAAGACGGACCAGAGAAAGAGACCAGAGAGAGAGACCAGAGAGAGACCAAAGAGGGACCAGAGAGAGACCAGAGAGAGAGACCAGAGATAAACTAGAGAGAGACCATAGAGAAAGACGAGAAAGACCAGAGAGAGACCATATAGAGAGAGACCAGAGAGAGACCAAAGACGGACCAGAAAAAGAGACCAGAGAGAGAGACCAGAGAGAGACCAAAGAGGGACCAGAGAGAGACCAGAGAGAGACCAAAGAGGGACCAGAGATAGAGACCAGAGAGAGACCAGAGATAAACTAGAGAGAGACCATAGAGAAAGACGAGAAAGACCGGAGAGAGACCATATAGAGAGAGACCATATAGAGAGAGACCAGAGAGAGACCCAAGAGAGAGAGACCAGAGAGAGAGACCATATAGAGAGAGACCAGAGAGAGACCAGAGAGGGACCAGAGAGAGACCAGAGAGAGACCAAAGAGGGACCAGAGACAGAGACCAGAGACAGAGACCAGAGAGAGAGACCAGAGAGAGACCAGAGATAAACTTGAGAGAGACCATATAGAGAGAGACCAGGGAGTGAAGAAAAGGTGAAGCATAGTGACGGCCCACTATACAGACTTCACACAGACTTTTAGAGCAGTGTGGTAAATAAATTGGATGTTTAATATGTGGCAGTGTTTCCGTTTATGTTTTCAAATGACAGAAAATAAACTGTACAGTAAATATTCCTCCATATCACAGCGAGCCTTTTGGCAGAGCCGGGTGGACTCTGCTGCTGTTTACAGAGGCAGGGCCAGCCTCACGTTTGACTTGGCTCAGAGTTGGCGTTTAATGGAAATAAAGCCGTGTGACAAAGTGTTCGGCCGCTTGCAACGTCAGATTCAGATCCAGTTTGTTTGCCATCTGCAGTAAAACCACATTGGCATACATGTGCGAAAGTCCCCAGTGTGCACTAGACAAGAACATAAATAAAGCAGGCTAAAAAAGAACAGAAACAAATGTCGCTGTGAGAAAATCAACAAAAACGGATTCATTACAAGTCCTCCAGAACAGAGCACCTCGCTGGTCTCTCTCTGGTCTCTCTCTGGTCTCTCTCGTTGGTCTCTCTCTGGTCTCTCTCTGGTCTCTCTTTCTAGTCGCTCTCTCCGGTATCTCTCTATGGTCTTCCTCTGGTCTCTCTCTCAAGTATCTCTTTAGTCCCTCTTTCATATTTCTCTCTGGTCTCTCTTTGTTCTCTCTATGGTCTCTCTTTGATATCTCCATGGTCTCTCTCTATGTTTTCTCTCTGGTGTCTCTCCCCGGGTCGCTCTTTCTGGTCTCTCTCTGTGGTCTTCCTCTGGTCTCTCTTTTTGGGCTTTCTCTGGACTCTCTCTATTGTCTTCATTTGTTTTCTCTTTGGTCTCGCTCATAGGTATCTCTTTAGTCTCTCTTTCATCTTTCTCCCTGGTCTTTCTTTGGTCTCTCTTCAGTCCCTCTTTCTGGTCTCTCCCTAGGGTCTTCATCTGGTCTCAATTTGGTCTCTCTCTGATCTCCCTCTACATTCTCTCTCTCTGGTCTCTCTCTCTAGTCTCTCTTTGGTCTCTCTGTGATCTCTCTCTGGTCTCTCTCTTCTCTATCTCTCTGGTCTGTCTGGTCTCCCTCTCTGGTCTCTTTCACCTTGTTTAGAGCTCTCCTTTCTTTGACTGTGTTGTTTTCAAACCACTCAGTCACCATAAAGTTGGAGAACTCTGCAGCGATGATAGAAAGATCAGAGAACACACCCACGGCTGCAGACAGTGGGTTCTGGAGCAGTGCTAATGGCCGCTCATGTCGGACTGCGGAGTAGGAGCTAATCCTGTAAAAGCATTATGAAAGAAAGTGCCTCGGCCCTTTCCGCCCTCCCTCTGCGGTCAGCGCCAGGATTTGAGCCCTGGGTTTGGTCTGCCAGGCGCCCAGCTCTGGTGGTGTCCCTCAGGGCTCTGTACTCTGTCCGTCTGACTTCACCTCTGTCCTGCAGTGAAAACCACAATGTGAAAATCAACGGGTGGTGTGTGCGAGCCGGGCCCCTCCAGTGTGACGGTGTGTACAGGGCTATTCATATGCGCCGTGTTTAAGCAGTTCCAACCAAATGCAGATCGCCAACATGTGGAAAAGGCAGCTGACAAAATGATTGATGGGATAAAATTAGAGTAAATGCTGGACATTGGAAGAAAACCCATTTCTGTTCATGGTGGCCGTGTTCATAACATTTCGCAGAGTGGAAATTTCATATTCCGCATGCAAACATTGTGGACGCAATCATTTACATGTTTTAGTTGCTGAAAAGGTTACATCAGTCATTTCAATTGTATTTAAGTTTTAAAAGAATGCATATTTGTGAACATGTGGCACCGAAGATGCCCTCGTTGCCTTCACCACCACCTGTAGGAGAGTCTGGAGGGAGTAGGGAGGATTTTAGTTAATTTTGTCCAACTAAGAAGCAGTGAGGATGCATCGGTTTATAATAAAAAGTGCCTTTCTGCAGGTCGGCAAAGAACAACACAATAAATACAGTGAACATGGGGCGACAGTAGCTCAGTTGGTAGAGCAGTGGCATTTGAGCCTGGAGGTCGTGAGTTCGATTCCCACCATGGAACCTACTCCAACTGCTCCCACTGATGTCTACTGTCGTTGTGTCCTTGGGCAAGACACTTAACCCCACGTTGCCTGAAGCCCCCCGCTGAAAGACCGAGGCTGTTTTACCACTGACAGAGCAGCCATCTTCCTGTGGACTCACCCCCTGCAGAGGATCCGCGAGGGACTGGTTGGCAGCTCTCATTACCACCCCCCTGACCCAGAAATGGACAATAAAGGGCTTGAAAATGAATGAAATGAAATGAATGAATGAATGACAGTGAACATGATGTAAAATAACAATTTACAAGAATCTACAGCTTTGTAAAGTCCTCCGGGATAACTACTGATGTGATTTAAGGCAATAAAAAACGCTCAGAACAAAGACAATGTGGAGTGGACTGAGTTTAGGTTCTTGTAGAAAGATGAGCACTTGTAGTTAGGGTTAAAGTCAAACGCAAAAGGAAATCTTTAATAAACTAGACACATTTTTAAAATCAGTAATTGAAATTATGCTGCTCTCAAATGTGAATAGTAATTTCCACCTTAAAACTCACATACAGACATAGATAGAGGTTGCCATAGATACGAAAGGCAGCTTGTGTTTACGTCGTAGCAGAAAAACTTGGCTTTTGGACTCTCTAAAAATGAATATATTCAACTCATTTTGGAAAAGCTGGATCCCTGGACATGTTTTTATTATTCAATCACCGTCCTGTGAACTGATTACTTTTGAGACACTACTTTTTTCCACATGGTCAATAAACACTTCGTAGGAAACGACAAAGAATTGCAGATCCTTTTGAACACATCACAGTGGAATACGGCAAAGAAATCGGCAACGCAAGATTTTTTGTATAGCACAGTTCATACACAAGGTAACTCAAAGTGCTTAACAAAACACACAAGACGTTATTATCATCAATAATCACAGTACATTAAAAAGAGGGAAGATAAAATCCATCTGCTGTTTGCAGCTGTTTTCAACCTGGATTGTCAGAAAAGAAGCCGTCTCTCATTTTCAGGAAGACTGCTCCAGATTTTAGCTGCATTAATCTGAAATGCTGCGTGCACATGTTTAGTTCTGACACTGGGACCGGCAGGAGGCCTGTCCCTGTGCTCAGAGTCCCAGCAGGAGGCCAGTCCCTGTGCTCCTCAGAGTCCCAGCAGGAGGCCAGTCCCTGTGCTCCTCAGAGTCCCAGCAGTAGGCCTGTCCCTGTGCTCCTCAGAGTCTCAGCAGGAGGCCTGTCCCTGTGCTCCTCAGAGTCCCAGCAGGAGGCCTGTCTCTGTGCTCCTCAGTCCCAGCAGGAGGCCAGTCCCTGTGCTCCTCAGAGTCCCAGCAGGAGGCCAGTCCCTGTGCTCCTCAGAGTCCCAGCAGGAGGCCTGTCCCTGTGCTCCTCAGAGTCCCAGCAGGAGGCCAGTCCCTGTGCTCCTCTGCCATAATAAAGTGAGTTTCATCCAGTCAATGTCTCTGTCTCCAAAGTGTTCTGAGGATGAGGAGAATGAAGAATCGTCTTCTCTGCTCGATGGTAACAGCTGTTGAATAAATATTGTTTCACTTTAAAGCTATTTCCAAACTTTCACGGTTCATTAACCTCCTACACAGTCCTTTTGGAAATGAGTTCAGCGCAAAAAGACAATTCCAGCTGCAAACAACACCTTTTCGTACTTTTAAACCAGTCGAGGCATTATGATATAAAACACTGTGAGGTAAGTGCATGTAACGTTTGGAACTAACCCTATAACTCATATTTAACCAAACTTCAAAGGATGCAGTGAAATAGGAAGGAATATTCTCATAAACCATCAGGCTCTAACTTTAAAATGAGGCTTTACACGCATGTGACGTGTAAGATGTATGTTTAAACGTGCAAAGACATTTGGGCCCGACTTTTGTGCACGAGCCTAAATGAGGTTAAATGCCACTAGATTCACAACAGGCGCAGGCCGAGGAGGACAGTCCAGGGGTCAGATGGGGAGGGCCGGGATCAGGAGTCCCATCATCACGCCATGAAACAGGCCAAGGGACAGCGGGTGAATAGCAATGAACAGCTGAAGTCCAAATGACGACAGAAGATGGATAGTGCTCCAGTTACATTACTTCTCATTTTTCTCCCCAACTGAAAAACCTGCACTGCTTTTGCCACTGTTTCAAATATCCTGAACGGACTATATTTTTGCCTTTAACATGTTTACACACTTCTGACTTTTGCACAATCTGAGTGTTCCTATCTGTGCCAAGTGACGGGTACTTTTCTCCGGTCTGAGATCAGTAAAGTCTTATCTTCTTTATTTTCTACTGAAGACACTTTCACGTTCTAAAAAATGAAATGACCAAGTATCTGTGTAGTATCCAATTGCATCTGTGGATTGTCCAGGCCGGGGCTCGTGGACTGCTCTTGAAATGAAAGAAAAAAGTTTACCCACAAATTTGCAAAACAGATTCACCAAGAAAAAAAGCAGATATGAATGAAAAGGAACCGAGATTATTAACAAACCCAGGTTTCAATCGTCTTTAAAGGAAAAATGTATCTCAGTCACAGGAGTCGATCTGTGGAACAGTCTGGGGTGTAAAATCAAAACTTCTACGTCCCGATTTTGTGTTTAAAAAGTCTGTAAAATTATCGATGTCGCAGAAATACATCACTGCAGATCAGCTGTAATTATAATTGTGTGTTTTGTGTTTGGAATTGTCAGAGTTGCATTAATTAGAGGCTCAAATGCACTGGAACTGTAAATGATTTTGTGTTGATAGGAGGCAGATAAAGTTTATTCTTCTTTCTGCTCCTTTTCATTCATACTAAATGCTGTTGTTGGATTTGCTTTTAAATGAATGAAATAAACAAAACAAAATAAAGTCTCTTAATATTTAAACGGACATAAACAATGAATGACGTCTCCAGTTGATGTCTGCTGTTGTTGTGTCCTTGGGCAAGACACTTAATCCCACTTTGCCTGAAGCCCCTGCTAAATGTTCAAGGCTCCTGAGGACTCAGCACCTGCAGGAGGATCAGTGAGGGGCTGGTGCTCTGTGGACTGGGTGCTGCTCAGACTGCCACCCCCTAACCCAGAAATGGATTTAAGGGAAGAAAATGGATGGATGGATAAACAATGCATACTATTTCTTCCTCAGCCCGAGACTCTGCATGGTTCCAGAGGTGGTGGTACCTGTGGCTCTGCGATGGCACCACTCAGCGGCTATAAAAAACTGTAAAACTGTAAAACTGTCGGACGGAGCGCAGACCCCGGGGCCCAGCGCTAAGCCCCCTCTAACTGCCACACTTCACTCCTGCTTTGGTGCTGCTAAAACCCCTCCATGTTCTGTGGTCAGCGGCATTACCACACCGTAACAGAGACACCGAGAAATGTGTTGAAGTCAATAGTTGTAATTAGTGCAATAATCCCGAGCGCTGGTGTCTGAGGCCGTGTGTTCGCAGCTGAGGAGTGAGGTCACCGCTGCAGTTGTTATGGTGTTCTCTGGCAGCTCATATATCTTTGTGGGTATAATTGTGACTGCCTGCGGCTAATTATTGTGTAAACCTGCCCGAGCTGCTGCTGCTGGGTTTATAAGACGTATTAGTTGTTTTAAATGACGTGCAACACAGCAGGAACACTGGGAACTAAAATAGAAACAAGAAAAACCAAAGTGACATTAAGTGTGTGGAATTATGATGCTGCGAGAGCCAGAGAAGAGAGACCTATAGGGTTATTTACAGTTTGTACAGTGTTTTACCGTGAAAATAGGAATTCTCATGGTGTTTAGACACAACGAGACACAACATCACCCTCCTGTACGGCGACCCCGCTCCAGTGTGCGGAGGGAGGGACTCTGGTCTGTGGAAGGTCCTATATAAAATAAAAGATTAAAAACTAGGGCAGTGAGTTTGACACGTTCATTGAGATAAAAAGAATTCAGCCTAAACAAACAGAGAACCTTTCTGCATGGGATGAGTTTCGGCAGACCGATTATACTGGTGCACTGCTAGAATCTATGCTTCACGGTTGGCACTAGATCATTAATGGAACAGGGATGGAGGACAACAACAATCCTACTTTCGAATGAGTTTTAGACTAATAAGTCCTTACGTCGTGACTGGTTAAGTTTTGGTGTTGTTGTATTAAAAATAGACAAAAAGCAGATGTGCATTTGATTGACCCGGAATTGAACTCTGTCTTTTTCCAAGCAAAAAAAAGACCTTGTATTGCTCTTCTCCCCTGGTCCCATTTTTGTCCAAAGTGCATGGGTAAGTTAATGATAGTTAATCTCAGGGCAAGGGGGATCGGCATTCCTGGATTCTGCTAATCCTTTCAGTTGTGAAAGAAGGAGATGGAGCCCAGAATCTGGAGGAGAAGCCTTGAGAGCTTTCTGTCTTATCTCAAGGAAGTAATATTTCTATAGAATTAGGGAGGGGTAGTGTGTGAATGATTCTGTTTAAGGTCCGGCGAGACGGAGGAGACATGATGGAAGAGGCCGGACCCTGGACCCGAGACCTGCCTGATACGACACGCCCCCTTCTTCCCCTTGCACATTTACTTATAGTGAATAGCTTGAATGGGTGGAGTTAGTTTTTTACCGGACCAGGGACAGTAGTGTGACTTGATGTGGAGCGCCCACTCAGAGTTATACTTTTATACTTTATATAGAGAATAAGGGATAGTTACTTTTGGTCCGAACAGCTGTTTTAGATTCTTTTTGTATTAGGGAAATAAACCTTTTTGAATTTAACTTTCTGAATCATGGTCATCTTTATAAGGGATTTTGAACACGTCATTTTTTAATACGATAGTGTCTGAGTAAGATGGTTAAGGTCAGGGTTAAGGTGGTCTGAGTAAGATGGTTAAGGTTAGGGTTAAGGTGGTCTGAGTAAGATGGTTAAGGTTAGGGTTAAGGTGGTCTGAGTAAGATGGTTAAGGTCAGGGTTAAGGTGGGTCTGAGTAAGATGGTTAAGGTCAGGGTTAAGGTGGTCTGAGTAAGATGGTTAAGGTTAGGGTTAAGGTGGGTCTGAGTAAGATGGTTAAGGTTAGGGTTAAGGTGGGTCTGAGTAAGATGGTTAAGGTTAGGGTTAAGGTGGTCTGAGTAAGATGGTTAAGGTCAGGGTTAAGGTGGTCTGAGTAAGATGGTTAAGGTTAGGGTTAAGGTGGTCTGAGTAAGATGGTTAAGGTTAGGGTTAAGGTGGTCTGAGTAAGATGGTTAAGGTCAGGGTTAAGGTGGTCTGAGTAAGATGGTGGTTAAGGTCAGGGTTAAGGTGGTCTGAGTAAGATGGTTAAGGTTAGGGTTAAGGTGGTCTGAGTAAGATGGTTAAGGTTAGGGTTAAGGTGGGTCTGAGTAAGATGGTTGAGGTTAGGGTTAAGGTGGGTCTGAGTAAGATGGTTAAGGTTAGGGTTAAGGTGGGTCTGAGTAAGATGGTTAAGGTTAGGGTTAAGGTGGGTCTGAGTAAGATGGTTAAGGTTAGGGTTAAGGTGGGTCTGAGTAAGATGGTTAAGGTTAGGGTTAAGGTGGTCTGAGTAAGATGGTTAAAGTTAGGGTTAAGGTGGGTCTGAGTAAGATGGTTAAAGTTAGGGTTAAGGTGGTCTGAGTAAGATGGTTAATGCCAGGGTTAAGGTGGTCTGAGTAAGATGGTTAAGGTTAGGGTTAAGGTGGTCTGAGTAAGATGGTTAAGGTTAGGGTTAAGGTGGTCTGAGTAAGATGGTTAAGGTTAGGGTTAAGGTGGGTCTGAGTAAGATGGTTAAGGTTAGGGTTAAGGTGGTCTGAGAAAGATGGTTAAGGTTAGGGTTGAGGTGGTCTGAGTAAGATGGTTAAGGTCAGGGTTAAGGTGGTCTGAGTAAGATGGTTAAGGTTAGGGTTAAGGTGGTCTGAGTAAGATGGTTAAGGTTAGGGTTAAGGTGGTCTGAGTAAGATGGTTAAGGTTAGGGTTAAGGTGGTCTGAGTAAGATGGTTAAGGTTAGGGTTAAGGTGGGTCTGAGTAAGATGGTTAAGGTTAGGGTTAAGGTGGGTCTGAGTAAGATGGTTAAGGTTAGGGTTAAGGTGGGTCTGAGTAAGATGGTTAAGGTTAGGGTTAAGGTGGGTCTGAGTAAGATGGTTAAGGGTAGGGTTAAGGTGGTCTGAGTAAGATGGTTAAGGTTAGGGTTAAGGTGGGTCTGAGTAAGATGGTTAAGGTTAGGGTTAAGGTGGGTCTGAGTAAGATGGTTAAGGTTAGGGTTAAGGTGGTCTGAGTAAGATGGTTAAGGTTAGGGTTAAGGTGGGTCTGAGTAAGATGGTTAAGGTTAGGGTTAAGGTGGGTCTGAGTAAGATGGTTGAGGTTAGGGTTAAGGTGGGTCTGAGTAAGATGGTTAAGGTTAGGGTTAAGGTGGGTCTGAGTAAGATGGTTAAGGGTAGGGTTAAGGTGGTCTGAGTAAGATGGTTAAGGTTAGGGTTAAGGTGGGTCTGAGTAAGATGGTTGAGGTTAGGGTTAAGGTGGGTCTGAGTAAGATGGTTAAGGTTAGGGTTAAGGTGGGTCTGAGTAAGATGGTTAAAGACCTTATGACGGGTTTTAAAAAAAAAAATAGTGGATATCAAAATTGCATGACAATGTCAATTTGAAAGAGATTCCGGCAAAAAAAATCCTATATTTTATAAAAAGAACGTGTTTTTCATGAATTTAAGTTGTCTATGCTCTAACCTGTGTGTGACGTCATAGCGGGTTACGCCCATGCATTGAAAACCATGGATCTATGCGACAGGACTGCCTTTTCTCTCTTCTCTCCACTGATGCCCAACACAATACTGCACTCTACAGGTGACAATTGCTCATTACACATAAATTGCCGTTTTGAGTGTGAAAAAGTGTCCTAGGGATTTGAACCCAAGTATCTGGATTGACAGTCCATCGACACAACCACTGGACTATCTCAGTGACAACGAAATGTTACATTCTAGTAGTTATCTTAGACTCGCTGTACACGGCCTTGTCATCTTGAATATCCGCGAAAAAAGAACGAATACCAAATTGTAAACAACTTACAGCGTTGAAACGTACCCGTTCTGACGTCACCAAGGGCTGTGAAGTTTTTTCGTTTCTAAGGGCGTTGCTATGGGGTTATTTCGATTTGGGGGGATCAGACAAAAAAAACAACAACTGATTTTGAAACCTTTAGTAGTTCTCTTCTAATATAAAATGGTATTAAAACTGTATTTCTAAATAAATCAAACCCGTCATAAGGTCTTTAAGGTTAGGGTTAAGGTGGTCTGAGTAAGATGGTTAAGGTTAGGGTTGGGGTTATTCTATGGGAATGGCTGGTTAAGCTTGGTCATGGATCTATTCATTTTGGTACTTGGTTAGGGTTAGGGTTAGTCATTCCGTACATGATCTAATGCCGACCTATGCCTCACCAGCAACAAACCAACAGTGAACATGAGATGTAGATTTGATTCTCAATTCTTTATTATGCTAAAGCTAGAGATTTTAAACTTGGTTCTTAATAATGCTAAAGCTAAGGATATAATTTTATTTCAGTATAAAGTTATTTGTCCATTTAACTTCCCCACTGTGGGAGGAATAAAGAATCATTTTTTATCTTCATCAGGTTAAGAATGGATTTAAGTAAGAGATAAAGATGAAATATACTTACGTCTATGCTACAAACAGACTTCAGTGTTGTACTAATCCCCACCTCTCTGCCCACGGCCCCCACCTTCAGTATGGGCCCCCACCCTGCTCCACAGACACTGGCCAGGGCCTCCTGACCCCAGTGGAAACTTTGATTGGTCCGAAGTGACGTGGTTGGAGCTCTCGTGACATTTACTGCCGGCCAGTCCGACCCCTCCCATACCTGTCTCACACGTTCTCTCTCACTCTGCTTATGTTATTCTCTCATTCACACCTCACGCCCACCTTGACTTTTATACTGCTGTTTTTGCTTTCCGATAGAAATTGTGTTCCAGAATAAGCCGTTTTACCCTCAGAGTATTGGATGTAATGTGGGGGCAAGAAAGCGTCAATAGTGTGTAGTTGTGTGTACAGTGTGTTGCTCAAGGCTGACTAAACAGAAATTTAAATATTTTTATGGAAAAACATGCAACTTGGTGAGATCAGCCACGTTTATGGACGTTGGTCTCTGCTCCTTTTGGACCAATGTCTCTATGGGTTTTTTACCATTGATTCTCTGATCTGTGTTTGCAAATTCAAAGTTGTTGTTAAGTCCACTGAGATAAATACTGTTGTGATTTAGGGCAATACAAGAATAAAGTGAATTTGTGTCACGTATGACATGTTTTTCTGATAATAGTCAATGTAGGAATCATTCAAGCACTCAATAACTTACTGACTTAAATTAACCAGTAAAAACAGCTTAAAAATGTCTTGGCTTTTAT